TTGAATCGAAGATCTTAACTTGAGGGAGTTAATTGAAAATACTTGGTGAAAACTTACGATAGATCGGTCACTGTGAGCACCATTGATAAATCTACTGCGCATTACATCTGCGCATGCTGATGAAGGGGACGGCTCAAGGAAACTTGCTAACTTAGCGAAGGAATTTTGCGAACTTGCGAAGGAAACTAAAGGTTCGTAAATCTAGCATGTGAACATTCAAGGGAAGATTTTATGCGGTAATTTAGATAAATTTACGATCACTAAAATCCTTAGAAGGGAGTATGAAATTAATAAATTATTGTTCAATGTTATGTTCGTTTTATTGCATTTTTGATACGCCCCCTAGCAACGTGCTTCACGAGATAAACAAATCGAGGGATCGATCAATGTTTTCAAGTATATCATTGAATCTGAATCACAGGGCTTTAAAAATTATATGAAATACCGAAATGAGAAAATGATCGGTAGGAAGGAGGCTCGATTGCGCTGAACGAAATGTTAGATTTCCGGAATTAGCAAAATTATAAATTTGATCAATCACGTATTTTCACGTATAGGGATCAATTTAACCAAGTACCAAGCGGGGATTTTGCATGTGAAACAAACGTGCGTCAGAAAGACTCGGTAGACAATGAATATTTGCGTCAGAGTTGCAAAAATGTGAGTAAAAAACGTAAAAAATTGCGTTAACGCCACCTCTGACTTCCATGTGACGGAAAATAGAAATGTAACACCTGCCAATCTTATTGCATTTTTTTAGAGATATTAGTTTTCAAGTACCCTATGCTCTTATTAAAGCCATTAGAGATGTAATTCCATTACTTGAAAAGGGTAATATATAAGTTTCCATTGGATTGCATTTTTAGAGGAATATCAGAATTCAAGTGCCCCAAGGCTCTTATTAGAGATGCCAATTCAGACAGCTAGGTAGTATTCAAGTTTCCATTTGGTAAAAAGTGCATTGCTTTTAGTCATAATGATTAATACTGTGTTACAAACAGCATTAGATCATCATTTATGTAACCTCGGATATATGCAGTAGCGTGACTTAACAAGACGTGTTTAATCGTTTGTAGTATATAAAACTGTGGCAATCGTGAATGATTGATACGGCAATTGTATGCGCTTGAGTCGTAATTTGTTAGACTAATAACTCCTGGCCTGGAGATTGAGGACTAGCTTACAGCGATCTCTCGAGAATAATACCTCAGTGATCAGATGTGCAAAATTTTGATTTTTTCCATTTTTAAATTTCAATTATTCTTACCATGGGCTTTCTATACAGGGCTAAGAGCTACTAAAATGCATTTCATGATTTTTCCAAAGATTCTCTTCGAGCCTTCGAATTTTTTCTAGAAAATTGCTGGTCTCAAAGGATCTTAGGGTTTGACGTTAATTACAATATCTCCAGACATTTTGCTAAAAAATAATTATATCATATTCGGAAAGGCGTCGGGTAATTCCCAGGGTATATAACTTCCATATTGCGTGGGAGAGGCCCAGGTATTACATTCGCTTGATTAAACGTAATGGACTCATTTGTTTTCTTTCATAGTCTTGTGCCTAGAAGCTGCGGAGGTAAAATAAACACCTCAATTCATTTTCTTTATTAACTGTAGGCATTTTCCATAGATCATTTTCATAGAATGCCTTTGTCTAACTGAAATAATTTTCTTAATGGTTAATTTACAAGAAAAATATAAAACCGGACATTGTTTGATGTTGGTTTTCCTTGATTTTCATGATTTTTCATATTTTCTCATTCTATAGTAACTTGCCAATCCTTTCAGAACTGCATCACTCTCCAACATTTGTTTACTGTCAATTTTCTTGCTTGATTAAACTCAAAAAGTTAAAACTTTTTCTTAAAAGATGATCTTCCTTTTCTCAGTTTTACCATATCAGAGGTTTCTTCTACATTACGTAGCTTCTCATGTGTAGCTATGTAGATTGGGATAAAGTTGAAGACAACTATCCCATGTTATTTTCCCAGATGCTCTCCATTGTTTTTAGCCTTATTTTGATCTTTCAAATTAGACTTTCAATGCCATTCTTACTTTGAAGAAGTTATTGTTCTCTTGTTACGTATTTGTATGTAATAAAATTGACAAGATCCTCTTTTTAAAAAGTTAGTCCCAACATTTTGAAAAATGTTATGAAGTGGGGTCCTTTTTCTGAGAGTGATTGATAGTTCCATTAACCCGCAGACCTTACTTCTTTCTTTCTTGTAATTGCCAAGTACATTCCCTTGAGAATTATGTAACTTGTCTGAAGTGCTACTATCATAATGCAAAGCATTTTTTTGGGCTATAGAGAGCATTTGCCCTCAGTTGATGATAAAAAGTAAATCTGACCAAGATGATTAACCCGGGCCCTGTTTTGCCTATGCTAGGGCTATAATGTCAAACTATAGCCAAAGATGGTCCCATAATGAGATTTGCTCTGTATTGAAATGTAGCTCTGCAATTATAAGATGGCTTCCTGATGGTCAATTACATACAATTAGAATATATTTCTTCCATAAGTGTCCCTTGTTGCTCATATCCGCAGTAATTTCTCTTTTCCAAATAGAAAAATGGAGTTGTCCATTATCTTATAAGATTGTCTGGAAAAAGGTGGGTAGGTGCCCTACTGTTCTTCACAAGGTCATACGGTTCGCTCGAACATGTTCATATCAGCATCATAGCTTAAAAGTTGTCTGTCAAAATCAGAGTGTAGCATTGAGATTCAGGGTATCATATTATTGATTAGTTCATTCATTTTATCGGTCATCTTTTTTATCTGGGTCTCTTCATGCAAAGCTTGATTACACGTTACATACCCTATTAACCTATCTATTTGAATACGAAATAATTAGAGTAGAAAATCAATATATTATTTGATACCTCTCTGATCATATTAGTCAAGTTAGAGCTGCCCATTTGGAAATAACGGCTGGATGGACATATTCTTTAGAATGGCACAACTGTTCTTTCTCATTTTTGTGTCATCCCAATTTTTGGTTGTGTATTTTGCCAAATTTCAATTTTTTCTAATTTTTGTATGATTTTTAAACTTGTCTCTTTAATTTCAAGAATATCTACAACTAATATTTCAAATTCAATTCAGCATGCAAACATACATAATAGTAGTCTTGCCTTAAGCCCTTGTGCCTCCCCCTTCCCCCCTCCCCCACCCCTTATAATCACCCTACCTCCACAAGAGACTTGTTGCAAGACTGGCATTGAATGATATATGGAACAATTAAGCAAGATTGCTGTTGTTATATATTAGACCTTTGGTTTGCACTCTGTACCTTGTCTTTATTAATTATTTCAATAAATCTGGTTTATGGATTTATGGCTTTTATCTCGCATTGCTCTCATTGAGTTATAGATTGATTGCTATATTGTTTTAATTGCTTGTTATTAAAGCTCTAGGCGGCATTATCAGAGATCAAATGGGCAATTTCTCGTATTATAGAAACCTGATAGAGCTTGTCTTTTCCTTGGATAAAAACATCACGATGGTCATGATTCAAAATGCAAAATAGAGAAAATAAGAGTGAAATTAGGGAGGAATAAGGCAAAGAGACGTGTTGTGTACATTCAAAATTGTATAAAAACGCAAGAAAATAATGTTGCTATTTTGAATTGAGAGAGAAAACATGCAAAATAGACATGACAAAAGTGATGTTATTTGCTTCTGGGAAGTACTCTCTGAAGCTACTTACTTATCTATTGCAGCCTGGAGGCATCCTTCAAATATTTAATATTAATTCAGATTCGAATAATTCAAAGTAAGACCAAATCAAATCTATATTGAAAGAAGAACATTCAGAAAACATATGGAGTTAATATGTATCGATTATTTCATCGTAGAGTCCAACCTGACATTATTTATAGATGAATCGCATTGATTTATCATCATTCCTTCCACACATACAACATAACGAACTTTGATGCTTTCCGTAACATCTGAAATTCTAAACGTTTATTGATGAAATATAGATTAATTTATTATGTCGTTTGATGTTGTGTTTCCCTAAGGAAGCTCTTGAGATAATTGTGTTTTATTCTAGATATTACGAGCAATCTACGATGATGGTAGCTGTTAAAGGAGCAGTGTAACTTAAGGACTGTTTGCAAAAAAATCCATTTGATGATAGACTTTCTTGAAATCCCATGTCCTAAAACATGTTTAATTTTAAAAAGTTTTTTAATTTTTGGGGAGATTCAACTAATGCTGCCATACAAAATTAAATGACAAAATTTTGAATATGCGTTTACAAAAGCAGAAATAGTTTTTGCTGTCATGGATGATAGAGTGCCACTTTAATAAATGGATGTTGTGATGTGGCATGAACTGATTTGATTAATTTAACATACATATTGGTGACTTGATCTTCACGCTTCTATCAGACCTTTATGAAGAACATTTTTATGCATGTTTTGAAATTATATTTTATTTTAATTCTAAATCTAATTAATTGATGAATTACTACATATATTTGGTATTTTGAGAAAAGAAATAGAGGATATCCTATGATTTATGAGTGATATGATTTTTATCCACGAATGGATATGATATCTGCACGAGCAAGCGTAGCGAGAGAGTGCAGATATCAATATCCATGAGTGGATTAAAATCATATCACGAGTAAATCATAGGATGTTCTTTTTATTCCATAGTTAAAAGTCATCATCAGAATTGTCGGAAATTAAGTTATTTAATTCGAATTTTCCAAACGATCCGACAATGTTGACACTTAGCCTCGTTTTGAGTCTGAAGTAGCAAAAATCCATAAACCATCACATACGGCGTCGTATGAATATCATGCTAACTATGGAATAAATAGTTGAATGGAGTATATCAAGATTCCAGACATTTGGTTAATAATGCTCTTTGAGCCTCGCCAAAATGATACGATAACCAAATGGTTACTTGTGATGCCCTCACCTTCTGAAAACACTTATTTAATCACCAATATTTTAATTTTTGTTTTTTATATATATTTTCAGGCTACCCACATTCCAAGCTAGAAAACAGAGCATTGTACCTCCAAGTGCTTGACTATGACAGATTTAGTAGAGACGATCCGATAGGAGAGCTTATCATACCCATCGGGGAGATTCCAAATATTGGTCAAGCCCCTACCTTTAACCTACCTTTACAGCCGTGCTCAGAAAATTCTACTGTAAGTATTACTCCTGATGGAGAAATTTGAAGATATGCAAACGATATGTGAGCTTTTCCAAGTGTTGACAGTTTGTCTCGCTTATGACTTGGTCATATTTTTATCCCACAAAATGAAGTTGAAGCCTAACAGACTGGACTGTCTATCTGTCTATTCATAAGTCTGTTTGTCCGGACGATAACCCAAATATGAAATCTACATACTGTATCCTGTACTTCGACTAATGTGCCAAATTTTGATATGTTTGCCAATAAAATAAGTATAATGTGTAACAGGGGAAATTAGAATGTTGACAAATATTTTTTCTCAGGGGGTCAATTAGACAGATATTTAGCAGATTTTTATAGTTTCCTAAATTAATAAAATCTCACATCAGTGGACACTATTCTTTCGGGATTTAATTGACCCAGATTTAAAACAATGGCTAAATAAGCATCAACTTGCATATCTTGATTTATAGACTGTAATAAAAACTTCACTTATCAAAGAACTAAAGAAGCAATCAAGGATCATGCATTATTCAATAAGCAAGCTCATTCCCTGTATGAAAACATCTACAGTTGTCACATCTTTTTCACAGATTTTCTCCATAAAATTTGAATGAACTCTCTGGTTTTCTTTCATTTCTTTACAATCTAGACTGTTCACTATATGCTTGGTTCCTTTTTTTCTTGCTGATTCCACTCTTTTTTACTTTATTTTACATTTTAAAATATGACCGTCATAGAAATTTTCTCACCAGCTGACTTCATGAGCAATTGCTCCTATCCAGGGAGGCTCTTATGAAAAACATGTAATGACAAATTAAGGTAGGCCACCAGGGTAGAATCAATAATCTGATTACATGTAATTAATGGCAAAAAGGTCTGAAATTGATCCTTCTCTGCCCTCCCTAAAGGAATGTCTGTTCTTACGCCTTTTTTGATATATTGTCACAGAAAGTACGCCTCAAAAGCTAAACTTTGTGTGTAAGCTGTTGAATAACACACTCTATAATTTATAGAAAATAATCCTTTGATCTCGCCAGAATCAGAATCAACTTTTCAACTTCATTTTTTGATTTTTCCTTTTAGTGATATACATGTACAGTTTTATAATATGATTTTACCAAGTTGATTGGTATTCATCTTAAACCATGTACATGTATATCTTTTTTGTAATTGTCCATCTCCTCATTTCAAGCCTCTGTCAAATATATTATTTTGTCTCAGTAAAAGTTAGATGCTGGGTATGGGCCTGATTTCTATGTAGGTATATTGTCATAAACAAATTAATTCCAGTTGATATGAACATGATAATATGTCAGAAATGAGATTTATTTGTCAATGTTTTGTCATTAAAAGATCAGATGAACAGTTCCTCCCTACAGGTGAAATACCATGATGGAATTCCCAGATTCTTTGCATTTCATATAAAGTGTCTTTTAAAGTATCTGTTTACAATATAAAGTATCTTTTAAAGTATCTGTTTAAAATACTTTATGAAAGTGTCTCTAATTTCCAATAAGTTTTGAATTTTAAAACATGGTGACATTTTACTCCTGTGTTGTATTGATCCATATATATCACCCTGCCATAAGCAGTTGATTTTTGCTCAGATTTTTGATTGATTAATTTAGGTTTGTAAAATTTTCATATTATTCTAACACCATATATGACCAAAAGATCTAGGAATAACCAAAATTCTATGATGTTCGTCACATAAATTTATTGCGTTAAAGAATGAAGTAACCTTTTACCATAAATCTAGTAATTGTACTTTGTGACATATAATTGTCTGATTGAAGTCAATACTTGACCATTATATAAGATATATTTAATTCTATTTCAGTCCAAAAGAGGCGAGTTACTACTTTCCCTGTGCTACCAACCAACAGTTGGGCGTATTACAGTTGTCATCATAAAAGCACGAGAACTCAAGGCTCAAGACATTACAGGATACTCAGGTAAAATGTTGTCTGCTCATATTCATTTCAGAAATTTCTCCACAAAATTTGAATGAAGTGTTTGATTTTCTTGCATTTTTATACACCTGAATGTATACTGCATATACATGTACATGCCCACAGCCAGGGGGGTTGGGGTAAATCAAATGGGAACCCCCAGGTTTTTTGAAAAATGAACCCCCTTGGCAAAAGATGGCTATGGGCCTGATGTATTTTATTCTGCGTAATTACCTTTCTGTTTTTTGCAGTTTTTATTTCAAAACTAAATCTAGCTTGGTTTTTCAGTAAAAGGTAAAAAATAGGCCAGTGTTACAGATTTATCTGTGCCACAGTCTCAGAGAATATGAAAATATAAAACAAACATCAAACAGGGATAGAAAAAGTTATGTATAAAAATGCAACAATCAGATATCAAGTTCCACTTGTCTTGTTTTGTTTTGATACTAAATGTAGTATATTTTATGTTTGCATGAACTTTTACTGAACTTGTCTCTTCTGATTCGTTTCCTAATGGCAGATTTTGGTATCTTGGGGTTAAGTTACCTTCATTCTATTCAGTCCTGTCAGTTTGCCTTATTAAAATCTAGCATCACATTCAATTGTTTGTGGCATCCTGTACTTTTTTTTCTGGGTAATTCTGGGTAAGGTTGTTTCAGCAAAAATGTTCATCAAAGTTAAAAAAGGCCAAAAAGGCTATTTTAGATTAGATCTCCCAAGGTCCTCTAAATCTGTACATTGTATGAAATGATTTCCCTTGAAAATGTCCATATCAATATTTCTTACTGCCCATTTCCCTTTTAATCTATAATATTTATTACTTTCCCTCAATTTATATTCCCTATCCACCTTGCTGAGTTAAGTAATTCTGTACAACAAAATCCTATTATTATCCCAGGATATGTCTCATGAATTTATGATGAAAAAACAATTAAAAATATACTTATATTCAAGCAATTATAGTCTTGCATTGGATCCCTGTAGTGTATTATTGACCTCTCCCCCTTCCCCTCAATCATCAAACACACAGATTTGAGGTACGGTTAGCAAGGAGGAACTCTTTAACTCAAGACATCACAAAACAACTGTTTTTTTCAGACTTTGTTTGTCTCAAATCATGTAATAATACAACAAACGTATATCACCATTCAGTCTGATTTGTTTATAATCTTCAAAGAAATTCAGTCAATAAAAAAACAATAAAATCAGTGATATGCATAATCGCTTGAGACATTTATGTAAAAATGTGACCTTTATTTTATGTGACCTTTTACATGACCGGAGTAAGAGATTAATGCGGCCATTATGTATGTCATTAAATTGCCAGCCGTCTGATACAGTCATGTCAGGAACACTGCGCTTGATAGAAAATTTTATATTTGCTTTATGTTTATTCATGCTATTCTCCCTGGTGAAGTACTTTTTTCTTGCATTTCTATATAATTTAGAACACATTCTAAATTATGTTGTTCTTTTAATTGGGTATTTACTCCTTTTCTCGTAATCTTAGATTCTAAATCATGACCTCAATGAATTTTCAGCATTGACTGAATAAAATCCAAGGCACTTATTTAATACATCAACACCTTGAAAAAGTGTGAAATCATGACTGTTAACTACTATTAAAACGAGAGGAAAAATTAACTGTACTTTTAAGTTGTCTCTTCTCCATGTCAAAATGACATTTCATTGTATATTACTGACACATGGTGTCTCATTAACATCTGTTAATCTTATTAACACTTTGTTATATCTCATTGACACTTTGTCACATTGTGACACTTTATTGTGTTTCATTGACACTTGGTTGTATATCATTAACATTCTGATGAATCTCATCAACACCCTTGAGTGTACTTTTGACATTCTGTAGTGCCACACATTCAAAACAGTGAATCAGTTGAATTCTTCCTAATTTTTAATTCTATCCATGTTGTTAGAGAATTGATATCTTCATCTGGGACTGAGAAATTCATGATTTGTTTAACAAGGACATACATTTTGAACCGTGATGTAATCTTAAACTTGGGTTAAAAATCAATATGCAAGACCTGTCACATTAAATTCCAAACGTAGATTTTTAGTTTTAAGTTTCATGGTTTAATCGTGGAAGTTGTCAACTATATTGAATAGCTTATCAGATCTATCACCATAATTCTGTTAAAGTGTCAATATACTTCCCCTTTTATTATCGTATTTTATTAAAAGGTTATATGTTAATCTATTGGATAAGATAATAATGAGCTAAGACCTGATACTGTAGAGTAATATTTCAATTAGAGGAAATTGACAATGAAAAAGGCAAACGCCCACAGTTCATTCAAATTTTTCTGGAATAAACCATCATGACTTTTGTCAACTTCACTTGAAATTGCTGAAATGCCATTTCACTAGAAGGTGCATTAATTTAAGAACGAATTGCGTAGGATTACACTTAGAGTGCTGTGTTATATTATACTAATATAGACATGGTTAAAGGATTTCTTGGAAGACAAAATTGCCCTGTCGCGAAAGTGGCATTAAGAAAAATTGGCAGAAAGACTTCAGAAATTAGGAAAGTGTCATGTAAGATTCTTTTTTAATCTGGCTTTTGAAATGTGAGGTAGATAAAATACACTCTATATAAGGAAACAAAACTACAACAATTTGATTGATTGCTTGGTTGATTGATTGAAGTGGAAAAGAAAGGAATAAGCAAGGAATGACGTAGACATCAATAATCAGTATTGTAGATGATAAAGGAATGTATGCAAATATCAAATATTATGTCTCAGTAGATTAGATGCGAGTAGAAATAACCTTGATTTACATCATTAAAAATTCAGTCAAAGTGATATCATATTTTAAATCTACATGTAAAATTACATCGAGAAACATGGTTTTAGAAAGTGTTTATCAACTTTGAAAATTCAAAACCTGATGTTGAAACTTGTAACTATCTACACTCATGTGGGTTGTTCTTCATTGGAATCAGAGGGAAATCATCATTGGTAGAGCGACCACTGTAGACTGAAGTCTAAAAGAAATTTTAAGACTCAGGTTATAATAAATCAATGTTTCCATTAAGTACTGCTGATGTACCACCATTTAAAATACCATCATTAAGAAATCATTTGTCTGACAGAACACAAATCTACATTAGAATCAGAATTTATTAATTTAAATTAAAAGGTGTTTTTATTGCACTTTTAATTTATAGGTGTCATACATTTACTGTGCGGGAATACATCAAATGAAGAGTACATTGATTTTTTGTTGAATAATTCAGGACTATTGCTCGGCCTTGAACTACAGTGTAGTTATTGAAATGTCCTATGTAATACAAAAATGTTGTGTTTTTGTCCTTGCAAATGGTAATATCAGACAAAGCATGTTTTTGTAAGAAATTCATAATTTTCTCCTCAAATTATCAAATCAGATGGTAGATCCTCCTGAGATGGGCTGTCAAAATGGAAATGGGCCTTTTCTGGGCCTCATTTTCAAGTACTTGTTGTACAAAAATATATTTTCCATGGCCTTGAAAATTGTTTTATTCAACATATTGGTCTAAAAAATATGCCCCTTGTTCGTAAAATTGTTAGAGCAAGTGAAATATATGCATATGAAAATTTGGTGAAGTAGTCATTTCTATTTCAGTTTTTTCTTGATTCTTGATTACAGTTTAGAGTGTTGACTACATGCCTGTTTGCTTTATTTCTTGCTTGTTCCACTCTTTCTTCCATACTATTCACCATTTTAAAATGTCTTAACCATCATAAGTTTTTTAACAGGCATCTCAAGTGAATCAAAAACATTTGGTGCACTAATCTTAACCACCCCAGCCCATTTATCATTAATTGGGGCCATCAATTATGGCCATTTACAAAACAACCCTGTCTTACCAATGGCTGAATTTGTTCGTGGTCATGTTTTTTCCACTTCAGTTCTCTCCAAAATGTGGCTGGTCATTTTTTCATTGAATCTGGTCCTTTAGCTCTTCATGCTTCATTGATCTTGATTCTTAGTTAGAGATTGAGGTTTTTCAAGATTTTATCTCATGGCGTTCTTAGATTAACAAAAATGTTGAATTTCAATTTGATTATTACTTTCAAAATGCTTTAACTGCCTGATATGGAATGTATGTAACAAGTCTTCTAATGATACTTTTGGTAGAAGGTGGCCATTTTGAAAATTGGCTGCCATTTTTGCTATATACTTTGTTTGTAAAAATGCCAGCTATGGCTGTTTGATGGGATTCGCTACGCTTTGGCGTTGCCGTTGTTCTGGTTTGTACTCTATTTTATAATTTAAAATACAACTCCCATGATATTCTAATCAGAGAAAGATGCATCTCTCATCACTCATATTTACCAAATCTAATGAGGTTCATTTATCAACCTGTAAATGGGATCCCCAACTTCAAATTACATTTCTGATATTTTTCAAGCATTTTTTCACAAAATTGTGCAAATGGGAATCTATTGATGAGTGGCGATTACTTTTCCAGCACTATTTCAGAGGTTGGAAGACATACCATTAATTCTTATATTTTCAGAAAATTGCTTTTCAGTCTTTATTAAGCATGAAATGGCTTTATTTTTATTCAAGGGTTGAATGGGTTATTTTTAGAATTTTTAGAATCTTCCATTTGCTGAAGATAAATCATATAAACTAAATCAAATGGAATAAATCATATAAACTAAATTAAATAGAATACATTGATATGGACATTTTAACAAGAATTATTTCATACAAGTGTTGTATTAAGTCTGTATTGTCCCCCCCCCCTCCTTCTACCATTGGGTTATCCCTTCTTCCTTCCCATAACACATTGGTGAGAGACAATCTCTATAGGTGGGGAATATATTCAGGAATCAGATGCCATTATGGTTGTTCAAAATGTGCTTCAGGGGAGCATTGTTTCAATGAGGTATTGTTTGCTCATAATCTGCTTGATTAGAATAGCTTATTTTGGCCGGGAAGTAGTCACACTTTTATGATAAATAAGATCATCGAACACATTAAATTGAATTCATGTAGACTAGAACTTCTTAAGAGCCACCATACTTCATTACTCCAAACTCCTCTGGAGCACATTTTGTTCGTTTGAATGTATTATCATGTATGCCTCTATTAAAATATGTGTATGATGTATGTACAGGGTGAGCCAAAAATGTTTACATTATCATTAGTTTATTCTACTACATGCACTTCATGACTCTGAGCTATTTTTATCCCACCCTTAACTTCCTTTACTTTGGAACATTAACATTGAAGAAAATTGAAGGGATTTTAGTTCACATTTTCATTGATATATTATTCCAAGATTACTCGATTCCTACTTAATTTTGTATTTGAATGTATTTTTTTATTTATAGTTCCCTCCACAGGTACTCTTATACTAGAAATATAAATAAAATATAATGATAATAAAATGTTTCATTGTTGCAGCAATGTTAATTGCATTATAAATAAGTTTCTCTTGTTTTCTGTTTGTTTATTTGATTGTTTATTCACTCATTTATTTCAAATATTATTTTTTGTTATGTTACAGTATTTACATTTAAAAAGCAAAAATATTCTTTAAAAGTTGTTGGTAAGAATGGAACACTATTTAGTTGGTTGACTGGGTCTTTGGTATGCTTACCTTTGGTATCATGCCTAATGTATTAATATTTCCTATAAATTACATTATTTAAATGCACCTTTGAGTGTCACTGCTATAAAAGTGATTGTCAAAAAAATAATTATTATAAAATATAAATAATTATAATAAATATAAACTACTGTACTGTACTGTAAAACATGTTTATTTCATGTATGCACTTTTCTCAAATTCTGAATTCTCTATATTTTGCTTCATATACAGTATATGATTATTATAACTTTAACGCCACATTTAAAATCTACAATGCTAACTGGTCCTGGTGGGTTTTAGAGAATAACGTGTATTACGCAAATCGAACACAGTTGCAGTACATGCATTTAATTATTAGTACCTCCTTAATGTTAAAATAGAAATTAAAACCTTGGCTTTTAGTGTGCACCAGACAGAAAATATGAAAGTTGAATAAAATATAGAATAAACACCTCTGAGCCAAAGAAACACTTTATCAAATTAATGTCATGGCTAATTAAAAAACAGGTTGATAAAAATGAACACTCTGTAAAATGAAAACTAGAACTGAACACCTTTTGGTTTAAAGATATTAACATGGGGTCGAAATCTGTATTCACCAAAGTATCTAGTGAATTTTTATGGGGGTGGCAAACTGCATTTTACAAGGAGGTTATGATGTAATGTTTTATGTCTATGGAGGAGTTTATTCTTTATTCAATGCAAAATTTGATTTTGATGTGATCTATTGCACATGTTTCATTGTATTGATAGTCTTATGGTGTTGGGAAAGTGTAAAATCAAAAAAGCTTTAGACCACTGGCAATATTTACATCACTAGCAATATATTTGGTAAATAAGCCTAGTATTCATACATACGTATACATGTACAATGTATTTAAGGAGCCAAAATATAAGTTCCCCCCTCCCCCCCCCCCCCCCCCCCCCCCGTATAATATGCCCAATGAAATATCTCTTCCTTGTTTAGTATAAAAATAGCCTCAAATATTTTAGTAACCTTTCTGAATACAGAGAATAGTTTTTTTTAAATATATTTAACTTTAAACCCGGGATGAATATATTTGTCTCGGAATGTAAAACATAACAATTTCCAAAAATTTCAAAGCAAACATTGGCTAAGTTTATGTATCTTGAAAAATCTACTTTTTGCAATGGAAGTAATGTTTTTGTACTTAACTATGTTTATCTCTTATTTGCAGATCCCTATGTTAAATTATGGCTGATGTATCAGGGGAAGAAAATAGAAAAAAAGAAGACAGAAATAAAAATGAGAAATCTGAATCCAGTATATAACGAGTCTTTCATATTCCAAGTCCCTTATGAAAAAATTCGAGAGACAACTATACACATTTCTGTCTATGATTGGGACAGAATGTCAAGGAACGATCTGATTGGACAGTTTGTTTTAGGAAGTAAAAGCGGACCAATGGAGGTTAAGCATTGGAATGATATGTTATCGAAACCTCGGCAGCAAGTAGCCCAATGGCATATATTACGTAATTAGAATAGAGCCTAATATGGAAGTGTTGTTTCGTCACTTGTGTAGTAGATAATCGTTAACATATATCTACGTAGCCTTATTTGGAAATATACGATGTATGACACTATTTTAAACTGGTGCTGCATAAAATCAAAGAAGCATTGCTAAAAAGGAGAGTTCAACTTTGTGAGCTTAAAAGGAGAATCAAAACAGCTGTGAGGAGGAAGTCAATCAACATGAGGAGGAATTCAATCAACCTCAAGGGGAATCCAATCAACCTGAGGAGGAATTCAATCAACTTGGGGAGGAATTCAATCAACAGAAGAGGTCCTTCTTCATGTCCATAGGGAAACCTAGTCCATTTACTCCAATTTTTCTTTATTATTTGAAGAATTTTCTTTATTTAGGTAGGCAGAATATAGTCAGTTTTGAGGTTTGCCATACTAATATTAAATACTAGCAAGTTCCAAATTGGTCCCACTCCACCTACCTCGAGTTTTGTGTGCAAAAATAAGAATTTTCACACATTGCCTCAACCCAGAGGCTTTCCACATGATTAAAAGTTCAGTTTCACTGAAATACTTTTTCTGTGGAAATTTCCTGTGAAAAACTTTTTCTTGGAACCCTTGATGAAATTGTTAGTTATGAAATGTCCAGAATGATAATGAAGTGATTTATCTTCATTTTGAGGTAGATCTGTAACTTTGTAATATGTACTTGTCATATGTGAGCCTCAGGTAGGCCAAGTAGAAGGAACAATCTAGAGACAGGTGCTAAAAAGTATTGTGAATTAATGATTTTTGAAATTCAATTGGCTTCATTATTGCCATTATAACACTGCAGTACAGTTGAAGTACAGGAATCGGGTCCTTATATACAGGTAGTTTTGAGAAAAATCTAGCTTATGTGATTTCCAAACATTTTCTCAAGTCATGCTACCCTGCCTACCTTTAAATTGTGTATTTTGTTGGTTATGTGGTAATACATGGCTATTACAAAAAGACATGTCAGTCTTATGCACAACCTCAAGAATATCATAAGTAGATGAATGCTTCATGCCTATGAATGAAGGGGTCAGCTGTGTCTGTGATTTAGACTGAGGTGAGATTTATTGATAAGATGGTCCAGGGTGTAGATGTGTTACATAAATATGTGAAATACATCCAGGCCCGTATCAAGGGGGGTTCGAACCCCCCCCCCCACCCGGCCAAAAAATCTTTCAAAATCATGCAGTTTTTCACCATTTTGAGCACTTTTAAGTGATTTTGGCTATTTTTGGACCAAAATTGTCACAAGTGAACCCCCCCTGGAATTTTTCAAAAAGTGAATACCCCCTAAATCCTGGCTACGGGCCTGACGTATATTAGTGTTGTCGCGATTAATCGATACATCGCGATATACATCGCCAAAGCTGATTCTGGCGATGCATCGATGTCTGAAACAAAACATCGATGTTTTTGAAAAAATTTTAATTCGCTAAAAATCACCCTTTCTTATCTTATTTTGACGCAAATCGCTTACCTTTCTCATGAGTTATTTCATTTTCCAATGTTTTCTGATATTCTTTCGCTCCAAAACTGCTTTAGCTAGTCTAAATGAACCATTAATCTAAAAAAATTACTTTTACTTTCATTTCACCGTTACTAGAAGTTCCCGGATGTACCAGCGTACTCTTATTAATTTGTTCCGTTCGGTATTTTAGTGTATTAGCGTTCGGTATTTCAGTGCACTTTTCTCAGACTTTTTCTCGATGTACATCGCGATGTGCATCGATGTTTACTCCTGAAAATTGCCGATGCATCGATGTACGATTATGGCACATCGCGACAACACTAACGTATATCTGCATTTGCATGTACTCAAGATGAGTGTAAATTATGGAATGTATCATATACAGACACTGTATTTAGACACAATGGCAAACAAATGTTAAACTGTGATGGGTAATAGTTATCCATTTACATCAGTACTCATTTTGTGATCAAATATATGTAATTTAGCTATTATAGATTTAAACATGTACAACTGAGTATGTCATAGAAGGTAGAAATATGTGTATCATATCATAAAATACATGTATCATATCATAAAGATAATCAAACTGTACTAGTTATACAGGGTGATCATAAAGTAAGATCAAAAGTGCTCTAATTTTTGTAAACATTAATGAATCTGGCTGATTTTCTCTCAGAATGTTGATTTAATGATTATACATACGCAAGGTAAATTTCAACATATTACATTTAAATTTCTGCTTTCTATGGTAACCATGGCAACCAATGTCGAGGGTACCCAGAGCAGTCAAAAAAGAAAGGAAATATTGTGATGTTTTCTTTCTTAATGGTTTTATACATTGGAAATACCACCATATTTTGTTAAATTCAAAGCATTCTTATACATTCTTATTTTCTCAGATGTTTATTTTAGGTGTTCTATATATTTGCTATTATATCCAACACATTTCGGTGATGTTTAATCCAGTCCATTTACACATGTCTGAATGCAATTCGCAAGAAAAGACCAGAGTTGGTAGATCACTTCATCCTGCATTGGGATAATGCACCTTGCCATACAGCAAATTTAGCACAGAAGTAATCGGACAGCATGGGGATCAAACAACTAAACCAAACTGGGAATGTGCCCTAACTCAGCAGACATGGCTCCTGAAGATTTTTATTTGAATGGGGACTTAAAATCTGAACTCTGGAGAGAATTCCTCAAGACAGAAGAAGATCTGAAAAGGTGGTACGCGACAGAGCGTGTGTGACGAGTAAAGGTGGCTTCACACATGTGTTCTTGGATTGGATTAAATGTCACTTAAAATGTGTTGAATGACAAATATAAAAAACACCTAAAATGAACATATGAGAAAATATGAATGTACAAGAATGCATTGAATGTAACAAAATATGGTGGTATTTCCAAAGTATAAAACCATTAAAGGGGTATTCCTTGCAAGACCATCTCTCTTCTTATATGGTAGCTATAACCATATACACACTTTGCAAGTTTATCAAAAAACAGAAAAATGTTTTGAAATGGTCAATATTGATCACTTAAAAATGTAGTGCTCAATTCCAGTAGGCTGCCATCTTTTAAAATTTCACTCAGGAAGTGATGTCATCGACTCCTTTGCATATAACATTAGGTAAGGAGCTATTAGAATTACTAAACCAGCTGAATATTTTTTTCAATTTGGTCTATGATTAAAATCCTTTTGATGATCTCTTCTTTAGTTCTTAGTTGACAACTCCTGAAAATATTTTTACACAGAAGATAAGGGCTTCTTGTTTAGAAGTGATTTTGTACATGTACTTCTTTCCTATACTGTAATAGACAAGGTTATGACAGGTGAGAGTCAATGGCATCACTTCCTGAAAGAAATCTGAAAAGATGGCAGCTTACTGGGAATGAGTACTACATTTTTAAATGATCGATATTGACCATATGAAAACATTTTCCCGTTGTTAATGCTAAATATGTAAAGTATATATATGATTGTAGCTACCATATCAGGAGAGAAATAGTCTGGCAAGGAATGTTCCTTTAAGAAAGAAAACATCACACTATTTTCTTTCTTTTTTGACTGCTCTGGGTACCCTCAACATGGGTTTCCATAGTTATCATAGAACGCAGAATATTAAATGTAACTTGGTGATATTTATTTTGTGTATATATAATTATTAGATTTTGTGAGACATTTTGTGAGAAAATGAGCCAGATTCATTAATGTTTACAAAAACCTTTTGATCTTATTTAATGATCACCCTGTACATATTATGATTTCAAATATTTATGAGAAAGATAATCAAAATGCTATGTGTGATTAGCCTTATAACTCGCCATGATTTGGAAATATTATTATTATTATTATGTTGAAAATGGAATATTTATCGAGGTAAACGCTTTCATGTTTTGAGATGGTGTATCAGGAATGTGTTAAAAGTAGTCTCGTAAATCTAATGAAAAAATTGTACTCTGGAAATATCATACACAATGCATGTATATACAAGATTTGAGTTCAATTAATCTGGCCAGTGAATCAGAGCTGAATTTGATTAAAAATCATCCTTAAATATCAGAAAATTTGGAGAGAATATTAGTTTTTGTTCTTGAATATTATTTGTTAGATCCTTTGAAATGAATTGTCTGATTAACAGTGCCCACTGGATCATCCAATATCCTTGGTCAACCCTTTTGTCTTACCATAGGCTTACAAAGCTATTTAATTTTAGAACAAATAGGTCTGGTCACCTGATCTTTTGGTAGAAATAATTCCCTCTAAACGGACAATTAATATGTAGGGGCTCTACTAAACTAGTCCAATAGTAATATAACATAAATATTGTTTAGTTTATACTCAGTAGACATGAACAATATATGAATAATAAAAGGTCCTAGTCAATATTTTTATATGTAGCCTATATATTTATTTCCAATAAAGTATGTATACAAAATTACAATCGGAACAACAGCATCAAGAACCTAGTCTCAATTCATTTATATTCTAATTCGCTTTAATTTATTTGAGTTTGTGCAGTAGATTCATAAGTCTAAATTCCATTTCTTGAAAATATTGAAAACCAATTTGTGTGACAGGCCCCTGAACATATTAAGTACTAATAATTTTACCTATCAGTCAAATACTCTCACTAACAACTGTCTCATGTGATCTATAGCAGTTTTAAATGTACAGGGTGTTCCGAAGGTATGGGACCCCCGCTAGGTAGACAAATTACCAATGTCTCCATATAGTATCTGTCATTTAAAGCTTATCCAAAGCTACATCGATTTACCAATTATCATAGTTGGACTCACAAATTGGAAAAACGTCTGCCTATACATGCTGTATTGATAGTGTTATGGTGTTGGGAAAGAGTAAAATCAAGTTTTAGATCACCAGCACGAAAATCTGTCTTGAATCATTGAGGGCCTATCGAATGTTTTTTGTTCTTGTTGTTATTTGTTGTGTTATTTGTTGGTACATGGAAAAAAGCATTCAATAAGTAAAAAAAATTGTAAATAATAAATAAGAATTTATTGAAGAAGATTATAGAGTACATTTTCACCCCCTTTATGTTTTCCATTATTTTATTGTCATTAAATCCATGGCATTTAACAGCTATGTATATTGCTTTAATTTACTGATCCACCAATTCTGTATGAGATTGCCAATTCAGATCTTCGCCAATACTCGTGTACCATGTTATCCTATGGTATTTTGATATATTTTCACAAAAGGACAAATTGGCCAAATTAAACCAATTTACAAACTAGCATTTGATACAGCTGTACATCCAGACAAGGTTGCTTAATTGTACTTTTAGGCACTGTATGTCTTGTAGAATGGAATGGTATGGTATTTTAACAAAAGGTTCAACTTTACCATTGAAATGCCTTGCGCTAAATGTATGTGGGAAATATTGTGCTGCCAAAATTATAACCAGGGTTACAATGTAATACATGTACTTCAGAAAAAAGCAGTAAAAACTGTGTATATGAGATTGACTGAAATATTCATATTAGTGTTAATATTAGGGAAGCAAAATGGGTACTCAAAGATGTGATCCCAATTTGAGGTGTTTGCTTTTAAGAGGACAGGGACTCACATAGACAGGTTTTACTGTAAATATACAGTCTACCATTATTCATAAGGTGCTTATCGAAAAATAAAATTTACTTGAAGTTATGTACTGAACATCAGTGACCAGAATTTGTAATAATTACTGAAATACATATTAGGGAGATTAGTCATTTTGAGGGAGATCAATTTCAAGGGAGAAAGGTTAATATAGTATTGTAAATCGCATGACAAAAATTGATGTCCATACTGGTAATTACTGAATGGAAGCTTGTCATTATAACGCCCATGGGCATGCCTAAGGCACTTTCTTTGATTAGTTTACAAATGTAATGAAGAAAGACAGAATGTCACTACAACACTTTCATAACAATACGTCCATAAAATAATTACCAAAAGGTGTAATATTTTGGAACTGTTCACTGCCTATACCATTATGTGTAACCCTTTTGCATTATTTGGTTTTAACCCTGCTAGGATTGTATTGTTGCCTAAAAATTGTTTTATTATTTTAAAATCATACAATTCAAACATGTGTAGTACTATACATGTTCATCAAATGAATGCTTGTATACCAGTGTTAAACAAAGTAAAAAAATAGAATATTAGCATTTCTTTTTTATGGACACTACATTCTTTGGATAAATCTGCAAGTCCTACTGGGGTTAATCCATTAAGTTCAGCAATTTTGAATATCAACTGAAAACATTATTATACTGCAGTGTTGAGCTTTATACAACATACATATGTATTAGATATTATTTGATCTCTTTTTCATGAAACTACATGGAGGAAAGCAAATTCATGACAGTTATACCAAAGGCTTTAAGTGAGTCCATGGTAACACTAGTTTGGATCAAGTCTTAAGACCCCCTTCCCTCCCCCTATTCCACTTTCTCTTTCACTCCCAGGAGGTGAGGTGTAGGGGAAGGGGTTACAAAGGTTTGAAATAAACCTATGGTTATACAATGGGGAATTATAATGATAGTTAGAAATTGGGTCCACATTTACAAGAAAAATGCCACAGAACAAATGTGTTCATATTTCAAATTGACACAAACTGTATATTTTAGCTGTTATCGTACATATATGGCATACATAAATAAATAAATAAATGCGACATAAAGTATGTATTATTTGCAATAAAAAATAAAGAAGTATGCAATTATCACTATTGTTCAATGTTTTTATGACGCTGTTTTTGGTACTGCGTGGAAGTTATGATAACTAGATTTTGGAAATTGAACGAAGTTCAATTTCAGACTCCAGATCTAGACTTTTTTTAGCTGAATCATCCAGAATAAGCCGAATCATCCAGAATAAGCTGAGTCATCTAGAAAGAGATGGATAAATAAAATAGGAAGGCAGGATAGAATAGGAAAGAACGATAGGATAGAATAGAATAGGAAGAAAGGATAGGATAGGATAGGAAGGATAGGAAGGAAAAGATATGAAGGAAGGATAGATAGGAAGGATAGGGTAGGATGAGATAGGAGGATGGATGAATTTTTCAATATTTTCTTCTCTACTCTTGACTTTCTATCAGGATACCATCAGATCGATTTTTCTCGAAATTTCAAAACACTATCACTTCCGAACCGGAAGTCGGATCGAAATTTGGTTTGCAGATTCGGATTCCTGACAAAATTCTACCCCTAATTCATAACTCATACGCTAAATTTGGAGATTTTTTATTTTGACCTACTTTTCGGACACGCCATAACTTCCGAACCGGAAATCGGATCGAAATTTGGTTTGCAGATTCGGATTCCTGACAAAATTCTACGCTTAATTCATAACTCATATATTCAATTTGGAGAACTTTTTATTTTGACCTACTTTTCGGACACCATATCTCAAAAGTGGGTCAAAATACTTTCTGACGGCAAAAGGCTAACACTATTAGCATATTCTTGGCTACATGTATACACAATTTCGAAGAATATAATTAAAGTGTAGTGTCAGAATCGAAAAAATAAGGAAAACCTATGAATTTGACCTAGATTTTGACCTAGGCATTTCGGTGTCCAAATTGTGAAGCTAGATGGCTTTTGAGGTCCCCTTCTTTTAAAGGCTTTGATTATATGAAGCTGAACTCAGTCTATATTCCGTATTTTTCACTTCAAAAATATATTTTTTCCCATTGACTTAACATGGGCACCAAATTTAGCGATTTTTGAGTTTTCAAAACGCCATAACTTCCGAACTGGAAGTCAGATCCGAATTTCGTTTTCAGATTCGGAATCCTGAGAAAATTTCCTATAAGACTAATATCCTGGACATTTGATTCGGAGAACTTTTTTTTGGACCTCGTTTTCGGACACTGATATCTCGAAATCGGTTTGAGATATCAAAAAACTAAATCGACCCTAGGTTTCCTACTTTTTTATAAGGAACACAATGAAAAAAACCCGGATCAAAAATATTGAAGGACGACCGAGAAAATCGAAAAAAGTGACAAAGTACTGGATTTGACCTAGTTCTTGACCTTTGACCTAGATAAAAATTTGACCCAATTTCCGAGGAACTAGATTCTGGACCTAAATTGACCAAATGACTGACTTTACTGAAAACCTTATGGTTATTGAGAAAACTGGTTTAGAATAATAAGAATAAGAATAAGAATAACTAGATTTTGGAAATTGAACGAAGTTCAATTTCAGACTCCAGATCTAGACTTTTTTTAGCCGAGTCATCCAGAATATGCCGAGTCATCCAGAATAAGCTGAGTCATCTAGAAAGAGATGGATAAATAAAAAAGGAAGGTAGGATAGGATAGAATAGGAAAGAACGATAGGATAGAATAAGAAAGAAGGATAGGATAGGATAGAATAGAATAGGAAGAAAGGATAGGATAGGATAGGATAGGAAGGATAGGAAGGAAAAGATATGAAGAAAGGATAGATAGGAAGGATAGGATAGGATGAGATAGGAAGGATGGATGAAGTTTTCAATATTTTTTTCTCTACTCTTGACTTTCTATCAGGATACCATCAGATCGATTTTTCTCGAAATTTCAAAACGCTATAACTTGGTTTGCAGATTCGGATTCCTGACAAAATTCTACCCCTAATTCATAACACATACGTTAAATTTGGAGATTTTTTATTTTGACCTACTTTTCGGACACGCCATAACTTCCGAACCGGAAGTCGGATCGAAATTTGGTTTGCAGATCCAGATTCCTGACCGAATTCTACTCCTAATTCATAACTCATACGTTAAATTTGGAGATTTTTTATTTTGACCTACTTTTCGGACACGCCATAACTTCCGAACCGGAAGTTGGATCGAAATTTGGTTTGCTGTTCCGGATTCCTGACAAAATTCTACTCCTAATTCATAACTCATACGTTAAATTTGGAGATTTTTTATTTTGACCTACTTTTCTGACATGCCATAACTTCCGAACCGGAAGTCGGATCGAAATTTGGTTTGCAGATCCGGATTCCTGAGAAAATTCTATACCTAATTCATAACTCATACGTTAAATTTGGAGATTTTTTATTTTGATCTACTTTTCGGACACGCCATAACTTCCGAACCGGAAGTCGGATTGAAATTTGATTTGCAGATTCGGATTCCTGACAAAATTCTAGCCCTAATTCATAACTCATACGTTAAATTTGGCGAATTTTTATTTTGACCTACTTTTCGGACACGCCATAACTTCGGAACCGGAAGTCGAATTGAAATTTGGTTTGCAGATTCGGATTTTTGAGAAGATTCTATTCTTAATTCATAACTCAAACGTTAAATTTGGAGAACTTTTTATTTTGACCTACTTTTCGGACACCATATCTCAAAAGTGGGTCAAAATACTTTATGACGGCAAAAAGCTAACACTATTAGCGTACTCTTGGCTACATGTATACAAAATTTCGAAGAATATAATTAATCTGTAGTGTCAGAATCGCAAAAATAAGGAAAAACTTTGAATTTGACCTAGATTTTGACCTAGGCATTTTGGTGTCCAAATTTTGAAGCTAGATGGCTTTTGAGGTCCCATTCTTTTAAAAGCTTTCATTATATTTAGCTAAACTCAGTCTATATTTCATATTTTTTACTTCAAAAAAATCTTTTTTCCCATTGACTTAACATGGGCACCAAATTTAGCGATTTTTGAGCTTTTAAAACGCCATAACTTCTGAACCGGAAGTCCGATCTAAATTTAGTTTTCAGATTCGGAATCCTGAGAAAATTTCCTATATGACTAATATCCTGGACATTTGATTCGGAGAACTTATTTTTGGACCTTGTTTTCGGACACTGATATCTCGAAATCGGTTTGAGATATCAAAAAACTAAATCGACCCTAGGTTTTCTACTTTTTTATAAGGAACACAATGAAAAAAACCTGGATCGAAAATATTGAAGGACAACCGAGAAAATCGAAAAAAGTGACAAAGTACTGGATTTGACCTCGTTCTTGACCTTCGACCTAGCTAAAAATTTGACCCAATTTCCGAGGAACTAGATTCTGAACCTAAATTGACCAAATGACTGACTTTACTGAAAACCTTATGGTTATTGAGAAAACTGGTTTAGAATAATAATAAGAAGAAGAAGAAGAATAAGAAAACTGACGAGAACAATAGACTCCAGATTTTCAATCTGGAGTCTAATAATGTCTTCAAATTTTTTTTTTGCTTTTTGTTTTTCCTATAGCCTATGATTTGGACAGCATTGGATATTAAGAATCATCAAAAACATCTTAAATCTTGAAAGACCACAGTCTATGATATATAAAATTCCCATTTATCATCATCATCATCGTCGCTTTCATCTTCATTAACTGGTTCATCTTCTCCCTCAGAGAGATGTGGGGCTACATCTCCTGTTTCCCCCTGTGCAGTTCCCGCTACTTTGCTTTTCACACTTCTCACTGAAGATGCAGTAGACCTGCTACTGTCCAATGACATCACTCCATCGATTCTACGATTCACTTTCCTAGGACATTAAAGAAAACAAATATGAATGGTTATTAGTGAAACATTTCTCAGAATATCTTGAATTCAGGATTCTTGAAATTTTGAGATGTTCTTGGAAATTAAATCAAATTCAATTTAAGGATCCATAAGCTCAACATTTCAAAGATGCAGCAAGATGATGTTCGAATCTTTGCAAGTTAATCTCATTATGGTTTGACAGGCCCGTAGCCAGAATTTTCCAAGGGGGGTTCACTTTTCCAAAAAATTCTAGGGGGGGGGGTTCACTTTGGCAAATTTGGCCAAAAATCACTCAAAAAATAGTCAGAATGGTGAAAAACTGCATGATTTTGAAAGAAATTTTGGCCAGGGGGGGTTCGCCTGAACCCCTCGAACCCCCCCTGGCTACGGGCCTGTTTTATCTTCCCCACTTAACAACATCTGCAAATGTTGATTGATCATTAACTTGGATTTCACTTGAGTAATTTTCACTAACAAAACCTTGGACACTACCTAATGTGAATCATAAAATAAAGGTACATTTGGAAATGACAGGCTTAATAAATATAATGCTCTTAAGCTGTGCATCGAGGAAGACAATTGAATTAATGTAAATTACCAACACTGATACAAATGAAACTGCAAATTAAAAATTGAATTACACATTTCTAAACTCGGTCTAGAGTTCAATGGAGTGGTATCGATATGGAGAACTTTTTGAACACATGTTTCTCTTAAACTAGTCATAAGAAAAATTGTTTTGTTCTTGGTATCATGTTTCCAGAGTGAAGTGAAACATCTTTCCGAACCTCATTGGAACAAACCGACATAAACACAACATGTTTAGGTCTCTCAATATTGTAATTGTACAAAGAAAATTTTGGTTGATTTTAAAAAAGTATCTTGTTAATGAAATAAAAGGTTTATCTTGATTTTTTTATCTCTTTTGGGGGGATTTTGTTTTAATTTTTTGAATACTTTTTTAAAATCAACCAAAAATTCCTTTGTCACGCGGTACAAACTTCGACCGTTAATTTGAATTTTTGACCTACCGGATGTTTGAAAATCAAGGATTACGAGTCTCGTACTGCACCTTTTTCTTAAAACTTGTTCCATTCAAAGCATAACAAAAATCCCTTTCTGTTGGTACATTATTCTCTTAAACAGAGTCCCTACTTCCAGCGGCATTTTGGTCCCCAGCTGTAAGAAGGCCTTCTAACAGCTTGGGACCAAAACGCTGCTAGAACGAGGGACTCTTTACAATAAAGTAATGCACCGACAGGAAGGCAATTTTGTTTTGCTTTTAATGGTATACGTTTGAAGAAAAACGGTGTAGTATGAGACTCGCAATCCTTGATTTTCGAGCATCTGGTAGGTCAAAAATTCAAATTAACGGTCGAAGTTTGTACCGCGTGTTTGTATAACTATAATATTGAGAGGTCTAAAAACATGTTGTGTATGCTATTTTGTTTCAACAAGGTTCGGAAAGACATTTTATTTCATTCTCAAGAATTGGTAGAAAGGAGCAAAAACAATTGCACTAAAAAAACAAAAAATGTTTCCAAAAAAACAGTTATATAAAATATTTCTAAATAATTTTCGCATTAAATTGTAGTCAATCAGTCAACATTACATAAAATGCAGTGTTTTTTTTACAGAATGTTTTCAATGATTGGTTTAAGAGAAAAACATTGTTGAATTCAGTTCTCCATATCAATACCACTCCTTTGAAACCTTTATGTATGTTTTTTGCTGATATCACAATACTAAAAAGAACACTCCCTAGTAGATTTGGCAACTCTGATGCTCAGTTGGAAAGCCTGTTAATTTTTTTTCAATGACGTTCACAAATGAACAACAGGCTTTATTTAACACAAGGTCTAAAAAAGAAGTTGCTATTTCCAAACATTTGAAGGGGAGTGTACAATCAGGTGCATAATTATGAAGGTTTGCTATTGAATGTGACGCTACTATGTCCCTGTATTTACCTGTGTTCTCTCTCTGATAGTTCAGCACCCTGAATAGCTTCCTTCAGGTCACCCTCTAATTCATTATTGCCCTTTTCAAAGAACTCATTCTGTTTCAGCAATTTCTGAACTTCAATCTGTAGATATAAATGGGAAAATAATAGAATATAGAGGTCTCTATGGAATATGTGATTTCCAGAGTACAAAGCTAAGTGGTCTATAGTTTACAGTTATAGCAGTATAACTTTTATGATAAAAAGAATTAATGTTACAATTCTATTGTGTTGATACATGGTTTTAGGGTAATGGCGATCAAAATGAGATGATTTGTAAAATAATATATATGCTGATGATTGGCAAATTGTGCCAGCTATGTTTCAGTGTAGAAACCTGGTCACCACTTCTTGGTATGACATGTACTCGTATGACATAAAATAGTATATACTATAGTCTCTTTTAGGTGCACATGTACTTACATCAGACTCTTTTATACACTGCTCCAGGTGACCACAAACAGACAGGGGGACATATTTCTCATGCAGACCATCTCTGATCACCTTCATCTGGTCCAGTTTCTCAAGGATAGCTGTATGTAGTTCTTCTACCTGGTCAGATGGGTCAAGTTTTGTTTCCTCATGGTAAAGAGTGCTTCTCTTTGGTGGTTCTATAGCCTCAGCTTCTGCTAGGAGTTCATTTGCCTCTTCTATGTCAGCATGCAGCCTTAAACACAAGATTGGTAGAGGGTACAACAAATGAAGTTATACCAATTTTGGGTTAAGAGGATAGGATGAGTAGAGTCAAGTTTTGTTTTTATTGTATTAATGCCATTTACATCCACTAGGAGTTCATTTGCTCCTATATGTCACCATATAGCCTACTATACATACAACATTATATACCGGGTGGGCATAAAAAATTAAATACACGTAAAGGGAAGAGGATATGATGTTCATCTGTAAGTGTTAAGTTTTGGGTTTTCATGGTAAAATCAGCCTTTTGGATCTGGGTGGTTCTTGATTTAAGATAATAGCCTATATAAATAGAAATTTAGGAATATCAATAAGCTATTTGATAATTTTAAGGTTGATTCCTGGGGAATGGGGCAGATAAGAGAACTACATGACTGTACTGCCTGTACTATATTGAAAAAGGCAACTCAATAGGCACATTTTGATTGGGTGAACAGAGGTCTGTTTTTATTTCTACAAAATCCTGTTTAGAATAACTTGTTTTCAAAGAAAGTAACTTACTTATCACTCTGATCCAAGAGCTCTTTGGCCCTGCTCTCAAGTTTTTTCAGACGTTCTTGTTCTCGATTCAATAACTCTGGCTTGGATGTGCCCCTGGCTTGCAATTGTTCAACCTGTTCATTCAGAATGGAATGTTGGGGGGCTTGACTATCCAGGAGTGAAGATATGTAGTTGTCATACTCAGCCTACAAATCAAAATACACTACGGTAAATATTGTCTTAGTGAACACCTCTCAAGTGAACACCTCTGTTTAGTGAACAACCCTTCTCAGTGCATACACCACTGACTTCTGTATATAATCACCTCTCTGTAGTGAACACCTACCTAAAGTGAACACATTTTTGTGGCTCCATAGGTGTTCACTGTACACATGTTTTACTGTATATTTTACAGTAATAGCTACTTATAAAAGCAGAAATGCAGTGACTCCAATTCTGAGTGGGCAGCTGTTTTTTGACTGACCTAATCCGATTGGATAAGGCTAGAATAAGAGATAAGCTCTTGTCCAAAGAATGTAGCTTAAGCACTATATAACTTCTTAGAACAGTGGAGACGATTACCCCATTTAACATGTAACACGGAGATTGCCATTTTGCACGTCAATTGACGTGAATCACGCCAATAAGCAGAATGTCCATTGTAATTCATAATTTGAAAACCAGGTTAATTAGAAGACCCAGTGTTTACTATATATACAATCTAAGTAATATTTCTTTTATAGTACGTATACTTAGGTAAACATTAATGATATATTAAATCCCAGGGAAGTATTTCATTCCAAAATTGTGGAGAAAATGCCGTTCAATCTTGTGAATTTTTTGTCAATGTTACGAACCAATGAAGTCACCACCGAACTTGGATTTTTGGAAAGTCTAAATCGATCGATGGAATGCTTTTTATTGCATTTTCTTCAAGTATTTAATCTAATCTAGCACTTGTATGCAGGAATTCGCGATCCTATGTGGGAATTTCGCGCTAAAACTTATCAAAGTTACCTCTCACGAATCCTAGATTAAAACGCCATATTGGAATTACTAATACTCCTTCAATTGTCTAGATATCGTCTTTCCGACGGGTTTTACGACAAAATTGGAACTGACCCAATGGTATTTTAATCTCTTAACACAACGTGAGCCCCAATTCCGAGAAAAGACCACTGGAAATCACTAAAATGGGGTCTACTTTCCCTCTTCTTTTTGACCGGAAGTGTTTTCCTGACCTCGATTTGTTGCTGATTTTTTCGTTTTTTTTTCATACGAAAAACGACTGGATTTAGTTTTTAAACCTTCTTTGCAATGATCTAATGATTACCTTAAATGAATTATAAACAATTTAAATTCCTATCCTCATTAGATCAGAATTTATTAGTTTTCTTTCCATCATTAGTTTACTTCCGGTTTGCTGTTGAATAAATATTTCTTGTAAACATTGACGTAAGCACATCATAATTTTTGTTAGTTCAAAATTCAACGCGGACAATAGCAAATGTTTATGATTAAAACTATTACATACCATGCAGATCATGATTTGCTCACTAGTTTCCCAGTTTATAACTGCCTGTCGTCCTGCCGATAATATGTGAAACTTTTAAAAGATAATAGTTTGCACGTCAATTGCCGTGCAAAATATTGCACGTCACTTGACGGACATGACGGCAATTGCCGTTATTATCTACTGACATGCGCACTTATGCTTCATAATTTCACGTCAATTGTCGTGCAACATGGCAATTGCCGTACTTCACGTTAAATGGGGTTATCGTCTCCACTGTAGAAGGGTACCCTTTTACACCCTATGTGCCCTAACCTTGATAGTTTTGAGGATGTATGACAGTGTGGGAGAATCTGCAATGAGGTCCTCATATACATTACTGTACACTTGAAGCCTGTGGAAGTTAGGTCCATAGCCATCATACTCCAATGTGTCCAAGTCCTGGAATACATGTTTTTGATTTTATTAATCTCATGTAATTTTCCCACAAGTAGGCATACAAACAAGTTAATTTGAATACATGTATATCAAATGGTATTATTTATATTATTCAAAGATATAGATTTTATTCAAAGATATAGATTTTATTGTTGTGCATGGAAAATAGATGTCAGGCAAAATGAAATGCCAATTTGAAACTCTGATCCATAAGCAGCTATGATACTGTATGTTTTGAATACAACTTACTGGAACAATTTAGAGAGAACAGAAGTACCACAATTAAGGCACATCATGGGCATAGTGTGATCACCCCCCCCCCCATCCCCACAAAAAAAGAAAAAAGCAATTTTGTAAAAATTGTTTAAAAAACATTAACAAATTATAGTTTGAAATGCTTAGTATGCACCATGTACAATGCAAATTTAAAAAAAATTCTGTACCTCCCTTTTATTCGCTCTATGCCCCTGGGCACATGGTGAACAATGTTGTACATAAATAACAATTGCCTTCCTGCTTACCATGCTTACAACAATGTTGTAACTATTCTTTAGGTATGATAAGAATAGTGGATTGGATTGAAGCATTTGCAACATCAGCACCATCATTCACCAGACATGGTATTGATGCACACGCCTACTAAACTATTGCAATCAATATTTTAGAATGCATTGCCTGACATTTGTCATGATTTTTACATGAAATATAGATTGGACTCTAATTAGTGTCAGAGTCAACTTTTCTTATGTTCAAGAGAAAATTAGTTCATTTAGAAGTAGAAGGAAGGTTCGAAGTAAGTTTTAAAAAATGTCACAATTTTAAAATATTTTTTGCTCTCTAGATCATTTCATGCTAGACCTAAAATGTCCAACAGTTCTGCTTCAACTTTTCCAAGTTAAATTTATATATACTGTATATACAGAATATCACATCATTTTGAGTGATATCATTTTTATCGCCGAGTTGATAGCAAATATCAACACGAGTGAGCGAAGCGAATGAGTGTTGATATTTGATATCTACGAGGTGATAAAATGATATCATGAGAAATTATGTGATATTGGGTTTATTCCATGATTACAATCACCTTGTGATGTTCTGATCCAATTTCCAGGACATTGGCAGACAATATAAACTAGAAATTAGAATATCAATTGAATATTTGAAACACTTTATTTTAACAATTAAAAGTAAATAACATGATATTGTTCGTCATAAATACCATTTTTAATCGTTAGTTAGCAGCCTTCTTATCAAATTATATACACAATCGTAATTCAATACACCAATGAAACTTAAAGAGAATAAATTGACGGACCAATTTTCTCAAAAGAGAATAAATTATCTGACCTAATTTCCAACAATATTGTGGCGCGAATGCAGATGTGATATCACACGGATATGCGTGAGAAAAACGATATCACACGCATATGAGTTTGATAAACGATTTTCTGGAAAATATCACACGGATTTCAATAATATCAGAAATATCAATAGCTGTTATTGTACAGATAACACATTAATCGTGGGATAAATATATATATCTTTTATTGACTCTGTAGATGTCATATCATGACATATTAGTCACTAAGGTAGAGCAGTTCTTCTCATTGTCGAGTTGAAGAACTGGTATCTTTATCCTAGCTAGAACCATAGACAATTTTAGCCAGCGCCAGCCTTTTATCGAGTTAGCAGCACTCTGGTATAGGTCAGCAGTCATAGGTCAAAGACAAATCCCAAGAAGTGCTGTGACCTGGGTTTGAACCCAAGACCTCTACTTTTCAACCTGAAGCCAGACTTCCTGCTTTTCAGACCAATGCCTTAACCACTAGGCCAACCCGGCGACCACTTTTAATTTCCACTTATTTTGCCTTTTGTTTTCATTTATTTAGCTTGAAGTGAGGAAACCCCTGTGATGACAAGAGTGCAACAATTTGTTACAGTTGCCAAATTCTGACTGCCACTGACCATCAATGACAACTGCATAGTGCATAAATGGTGACTATGACAATGTGTTGACCTTCTTCACAAACCCAAACAGACAGCTACAGCTGTATTTCAATTTGGAGTTCTATCATCAATTTAATTATTTTATAGTACAGTAGCCCACACCCAAACTTAAATTACACTTTTTTTGACGTCAGTTATATTATTAGAATAATTGTTATTATGTTGTACATGTACATGTTTTACCTCTCTTAGCTTCCTCTCTAGATGTTCAACAGCTTTCACCCCTGAAAGTACATTCTGCTCCATTGTTTCATGTTTCCTCACAATAGTCTGCTCAAAATCTTTAATTTGTCGATGCTGATCCTTCTTAGTAATGGCAGTCAAATGATTTGGCACAAACACATGCTTTGGAGAGTCTCTTCCAGAATCTATGTAATCGCTATCATGATATTTACTTTTAGGTAACATGAGGTCAGGTATTGTTAGCTCCTGTATAAAAGTTTGATCTAATAATCTGGGATTTTTCATTGTTTCTTGTTGGAGTGATTTCTCATGTTTTTGATCAGCTGCACGTGGTATTGTTTCTGTGTGTAATGTATTAACTGGCGATTTTTGTCTTGACTTGGGTTTTGATTTATTGTCGATTGGTTCTAATTTGTAGGTTAGATCTGGCTGCATGAATTTTATTGGATTTGGCATTTCTGGAACTTTCGTAGGACTTTCTAGTGTTCCGGCTGTTCCCATGCTAAAGTTTATCAATGTATCAAGCATTGTCTTTTGGCTCTCATTATTTTTCTTGCCCTGTAAAATACAAAGGAAATCTCTAAGAAATTTAATACATGTGCAGTGTTCTCCACGGCATTTTTTCTCAAATGGGTGCAAAATCCTCATTTTCACAATTCACACTAAAATTGGTCAAAATATGCCCATTTTTCATGATTATTCTCATTTTGAAGTGGGTGGAAATGGATTTTCAGGTGGCTGCAAGCCTGTTTTTAAAATCTCAGGTGGGTGCTGCACCCACTTGCCTTAATACTGGGGAGATCACTGCATGTAAATATTGTATCAACTGCATATTTGTAAAGAATTTAATGAATTTCAAAAACATAGAGATAAGTGTACATGTATACATGTAATTGATTAGATTTCATTAAAAAAAAGGTTAATAAGGTAGAATATTTTCATATACACACAATGGTTCCTTTGCCAATATCATAGTATCTCTCAGAATAAAACCCATACTCAATCCCTCTGATTAAATAATCTATATGTAGACCTGAATTATAAATACTCACACCATGTTGAAGTTTCCCGGCTTCTCTCATATTGATGTGTGGTTTCTGGGAACTTTCCCATGGCTTTCTATTAGAGATCTCAGCATGTTTTAACATATTACTCTCATTTAAATGTCCTCCACTTAAGTCATGCGTGTCCCTGACATTTGCAACTTCAAACCTATTCAGGAGGTCAGCTAAGGGCTCCTCTGTTGTGTTTGTCGCTTTTGTTGCCATTTTGATATTTTAATCTGTTTCCACTGGGGCCTTTGTCCTAAGTCTTTGGATGTACTTTGCAGTTTATTTTGTTTATTTACCCCCCATCTTTATTTGTTCTCCTAGTGATGATATCTAATCTGAAAAAATCAGAATTTTGCAATTACGGTAAAGCCTATATCTGTATATATCTAATCTAAACACCTCTCAATGAGAATACTTTTTTCAGCCCCATTTTTAATCTACCATAGACTTCCATGTTAAAAACCTTATAATGTGAACATCTGTCAATTCAGATTAAACAGGGTTTACTGTTCTATCAATTGCTTAGAATTAATAAATAAATTAGTTGTGAATTAGGGAATTTTCCAAATCATTTGCATGTATAACAGTGGATCTTTCAACAAATTAACAATTTTCATTTTTCATTGAGAAAGATTGCACCTCTTAACAATAATATGGCAGTAGGTTTTAGAAAGGGCATCCCTGTTACAGTCAAAACAGAAATGTTTGTGAGTACTTTGAATTTAAAAAATAAGCAATCAAATGACCATATTGAAACAGTTTATGTAAAAATAGAAATATTTATATTTATCCTAACTTTGTATATTTCAGATAGTAATGTATAATGTGCAGCAAAGCTGTATCCTTTTGTAGTTTAGGGAGTTTCAGCCATGTTAATTTTTCCGAAAATAACATGGCAGAGAAGTATCAAAATATAAGAGGACACAGATATGATAGCTAAACTACAAAACAAACTAGAATATGCAAAAATTAGGATAAATACAGTAAAACCTGCGAACAGGGAATGCTCTTCGGACTGGAGAAAAGTTTCCTTGTTCAGAGGTTTTCCCTATAGAGAGGGGCGAGGGTCCGCACTTTCAGCAAACTCAGAAGTGCCGAATAAGCATTTTTTGTATATATTTGGGCATTAATTGATTTTACCAATGCCGACTCCATATTTGGTTGCTAGACCTTGTTGTGACATCTTGGAAGTTGTATGAAGGTCTCCCACCTCTCTCCTTTAGCTGAGGGTAAGGAGTCGCCTCCCGGTGTTGATTTTAGCCGCTGCCTGCTGGCGTTTGATGATGTCTAGTTGTTGTAATTATTGATAGATTTGGCTCAACATGACACATGTACTTATCTGTTATCTCCATAAAACTGATTTGATGTAATTAGGTTTGTCCAAAGGAAGAATTAGTGTCATGATAATTAGTAACAAACAGATTAGTATTACTTTTAAAATATATCAGGGTAAATAACATTGGATGGGATGCTTCATTGTGTAAACAATTGGCTTATCTTAATCTCAATCATATTAATCCAAGCTTTTTAGAATCACATATTGGCTTAAGATTTTCACACCTCTGAAAAATAATGGAATATACAGTGTCACCAATATTCCATATTCCTTGTTCACAGGTGAATTTTAATAATTTGCACCAAAATAGTGTTCCTTGTTCCCTGTTCACAGGTTTTCCCTACAGAGAGGGTCCGTTAACATGTAAGTCAATGGAAAAATATTTGGTTCTTTTGAAAAGCATTCCTTGTTCATAGGTTTTCCCTACAGAGAGGTATTCCATCGTACAGGTTTTACTGTATAAATGTTTCTATTTTTACATAAACTGTTTCAATATGGTCATTTGATTGCTTATTTTTTAAATTCAAAGTACTCACAAACATTTCTGTTTTGACTATATAACACCCGGGTCTGGTGCTGCAATACTGTGCAGAGTCCAGATGAACCAGACCATACCATGATATTTTGCTTAAGCTTCATGGTAGACAATACTAAACTGATATACATTCGGAGTGTTTACTAGCTCCTAGAAAGTAAATGACAGTCACATTAATTACATGTAGCTTACTCTTAATTCTTACATTTAAGTGACAAAAATACAAACACTGATTGACTGAAATAAACTCAGCCCTAGATACAAGGTTTAATTCAAAACTTTTAGATTGCTGTTTTAGTGTTTATGTCAGACAATAACCACATTTTCATTGTTGCCATTGATTGCTAGAATATCTAATCCTCTTGTGCAGAAACCAAACCAGTCTGGCCCAGGTATCTACTCCCTGAAACTGAAATGTATATATGCAATGTTGATGTGGAAAAGCCAGTCGGTCCTGTAGCTCAGTGGTAGAGCACTTGCCCCACTGGGGTGGACTGACTTTTTCACATCAGCCCTTAGCACAGGATTTCATTCTGTGTTTTCATTATCAAATTAGCACAGGATTTCATTCTGTGTTTTAATTAACTAATTTATCTAAAGAGTACATAACTTAACGTAAATTTTGTGTTTTGTTTGTTATATTGACATTGAAATGTGCCCAATATTTGTCAATTTTCATTGGTTTTTCTCGCCTAATAGTGTCACGTGATGTGACGTAACAAGAGTGTGACGCGAAATTTTTTAATCTTTCATGGGACAAAGATACATTTCCCGGAAATTAATACATTCCAAATATTATGATTTGTTCAGAAGATTTGTCAACATTACGTAAATTATTTTATAAAACTGTCCATGTCGTAATTAGACTGGAAACAAATATGGTGGAGAGAATATATGATTTTTCAATTTGTTGTACTGAAGGAATGTTGAACTGAATGAAAGAAGCAGCGGAGACTTCTCGACATATTATAAGAGATCAAACACGTTCAATCGTTAAGTTCTCATTAATAGCATGGAAACCTACTAGAAATACAAAATGTTATACTGGGAACAAACAGGTAAGTATATTTTATAACGTTTATTCAGATATCAGCGGTTATTGTACATTGGAAAAGCAGTGTGTTTTGTCCAGAGTAAATACCCCAATTTTTTCATTGCAGCCCCTCTGCCCCAGTATCTACGACATTTGAGAATCACTGAGTAGATAACCGGGTAGATAACTTGGCGAGTTTGGTTAGGATTTCCCATGTTAGAAAGAAGAGAATTTAGGCATTATTGGAAAGTATCAAGTCTCAAATCACCATGGTCTGGGAATGATATGATGCTGATTGATAGGTTAGATTTATCATTTAGGCTACATGTAGCCTAGCCTACAGTAGATCTAGTAGGTCTAGAAAATTAAAATAAAATGCCATTTTTTGTTTTGTACGTAGCCGACACGATCTCAATTCAAAAACATAATTTTCCTTTAATGCAATATGAGCACATGGACGCGTGATTTAAATAGATTCATAAAATTTATGGCCGCAAGGAACATATATATGAGACTAGTTAATTCGAAGTATGGAAAAAATCTCACCTCCTTCCACCATTTTAGCTTTTGATTGCTATAGCACTGACCTTGAGAATCGTCCAATGAAAATGAAAGGATTATTGCGGGAAATTCAAGCGTATATGTACGTCCGAAATCTCAACGATAGCGCGTTTGCTACTGAAATGATCGATAAAATTACGAACTTTTTCATCAAACCTTAATACGACCCAATATATGAATGTCATGTTCCACTGGATAGTAAAGAAAGAATGTAACATTTTCATAAGATCTCACTTTGTTTCTCAATTTAAATTTCCCTCATTATTCAAACTTTTATGCACGCGCCACCTGTCGGCAATCACATGGCGGAAACTTATCAGCAAAATCAGGTAAAATGTTAAATTAACTGCACAGGGACTTTGTTTAAACATTCATTGATGCTATAGAATGATATAAGTATTTATTGTCTGCAATATTATGACTAACAAACTTCATAAAGTGCAGAAGTTCGCAGATAAGCGTCAAAAAATCTGAAAGTGAAAATTTCCAGGACTCTTTCCACACTCATGCACTCTTGTGAGAAATCCTCCTATTATTCACCAGGTTATGAATGTGAAATTCCTCTTTCGTTGTTATTCAGGATGCATCTCGTACACGGTACCCATGTCAATCTGCGCGCATTCTAGGCACACAGTTCCTCTTTAGTAGTAAGCTTACTTAGTTTGCACATGGGCTCTATCAGGTAGAGCCCATGGTTTGCACAAAGCTATCTCCTGAGAGATACATGTAGCTTTGCATATGTTGATATTCCCAGTCCTTATCAAGGTCATTTGTAAAAATGTAAGAAATCTTGGAAATATTTACCCCACTTCAATCGATGCATAACATTCTAAAGTATTGTTTTTCTAACCATATTGGGCTCTAGAATGTTGAAATGTCATAATTTTCAAGATGGCTTCTCAGGAAATTGGGTAAGGCGCATGTGCTTCCATGCCATGAGATTTCCGCTTCCGGTTACACACATGTAACAAAACAAAACTCTCTAAATGCGCATTTATGCTCTTTTCTCTCGAGAACGACTGTCTCATTTTCACGATAACGTTTAAAAATCTGTAAAAAATTGAGGTACTTAAAAGCATCGGGAGGCATCATATATTTCAAATTAGACACGAGGAAGTCAATATTGAGCTAGTTATGGCTGTTTTAAATTCAAATAAAACCGTTAACCCGTACCGGTCCAGCTTTTGACCCGTACCGGTCAATTTTCGTTAGCTGCGTATACCAAGGGTGATTATGCTCTAATAATTCAGTGGCCTGAAATATAAGTATTTGTTTGTAAATATTTTTGATCGAAAATTTCATTAGCATTAAGAAAAACATCAGTTTGTCTATTACAATTCTAAATTCTAAGTTCAACCAACCCAGAGGCTCGGTGGCCAATATGTTATCTGAGAATTTTGGTAGGCATTGAATACGCTTACCAATTGCTCTATGAGCTAATTCAAGTTTTTCTATGTCCCTGCCTGAATATGTTATTAAAGGGCTTCCATAGAGCATTGTGGGAAAAGATATTGCCCAATATAGTCGAGATGCTGTTAAAGGACAAAGTCCACCACAATTGCCACCCAGCCCGAGGAGTGATTAGTATTTAGTATTAGTATCTCCCTTGACCAAAATGCTTTAAATGCTTGCGATATTTTGAAGTGGGTATATGATCATAAGATATTGATTTCAAAATACAGATACAGGATTGCTAGAATGTGGTTTGTTTTAATTTCAAAATTTATATTTCAAATTTCCCACAAAAAAATAATTGCAAAAATTCTCACATGCTCAGCTAAAAATATATCTTCAATAATTACTTACAATCGTCGTCTTTGTTCCAAACGACAGACCATGTAGCATAACACAGCTCTTCTTGGGAGCACTGCCTGGCATTGGAGAAACTTATAAACTTAGATTTATGTTTTAAAATTGAACAATTGAAGATTTTTTCAAATTTACAGAAACCAAACTCGAGTATATGTCTTGCAAAACGAAGGGAAACTTTGAATGAATTCCCGGGTTTATAACGCATTTAACATTGTGTGTATAGGCTAGCTCCTTCCGCAATTATTTTTGCGTAGTAGCAGTATATCGCGTTTAATAGAAGTATGGCTGTCACGCAAAACAAAAAAATCAAAGGAATCCCCAAGTTATTAATGCATTTACATTGTGTGTATAGGGTAGCTCCTTGCACAATTATTTTTGCGCAGAAGCGGTACCTCACGTTTAATACAAATATGACTGTCAGGTAAAAGAAATTTGTTTATAAATCACCACGATTTTACACGATATTTGGGTGAATTTTCAACAATTTAGGCTGTGGTGACTAACTACAGTTTAGATTGTGGTTACTACCTTCTAATGGTGAATAGGTTGTGGCGGTACTCAATTAGAGTGTGGCACCCCACCACACTAAAAGTGTAGCCAATTGGTCATGGGATTCTGTAGTGATTCATTTATGGCTACGCAGGTGTTTTACGCAGCTTTTTGAATTATAGAGGTGTTCCACTTACAGGTTTTGCTGTCTTTGTCAGAAGGTGCTATCTAATTTTCAAGCATTGTAAAAAGTTCAACAACATTGTGCATCTTAACTTTTGTATTAAAACTATTTTCTGCATATAGAGTTACTTGTATGTATTAAAATTGTTAACTTAATTTCTAGGGTATAGAACTGGAACTTGGAAATGAAATCTGAAACTGTAAAAAAAGAACCAGGATCTGTGAAAATGGAGTCAGGAACTGTCAAATTAGAACCGGGAACTGTCAAAATGGAACCAAGAACTGTCAAATTAGAACCGGGAACTGTCAAAATGGAAATGGGAACTGTCAAAATGGAACTTGGAACTATCAAAACAGAATCAGGACCCATAGAAAAGGAAAATTGTAAAACCCAAATGGTGCCAAATAAGAAAAATACTGAGCAATGTGTGAATTCAAAATCAGAACCAAAGATTGGTACTCCCCAAGGATCGCTAACCCCTTTTGATGTAACAACAAATAGACGTCCAAAAAGACATTCAGCAATGGTTTCAGATGCTAAAAGGCGTGCCATCTTTAATTTGGATAATCAAGATGATGGTGAGCCAGTTGTCAAGACAACTAAAAGGTAAGATGATTTTTCTTAAATATAAAGGAAAAGGAAAAAAGTTTTTTCTGTCACTGCCTCATCTCAGTTCCGATATCAGATTTGGTAAAAGAATCAAAATCTACTACATTTGATAATTATCCAATTCTGCAACTACATGTATTACTCATGTGTGATTCAGTATTTACTGTTATTATGCACCTCATTAAAATACTCAAATCTGATTGGTTAAGAGCTCTAGGGTCTATTGCCATACGTTGCAGCAAGATCTCGTTCTATCCAGTATTGAAGCAACGAGATCTCCAACCATCCCGTATGCCAGAATACATATCCTCGAAAAAAATACTAGGCTCGGCTTCTGTTTTAGTAGACTCTTTCTTTAAAATAAAGTATTTCTCAAGGGAGGTGCATAATAAAATAAATACTGGATGACCATGAGGTGGATATGCCAGAATACCTATCCTCGAAAATTCGCCTCGCCTAGCCTAGCATATCCACCTCATGGTCATCCAGCATTTGTTTAATACGCATCTGCATATCAAATATGGTTTTTGAAATTTAAAATGAATTAAAAACATCTTTCCTTGTACATGTATATTATTCATATAGTTTATCATCCACCACTGAAATCCATGTTGAAATAGCAGCTGATTTACTAAAACATGTACTCAACGAAACAGTAGTAAAGAGCATTAATACTGCAGCATGAATTTAGTGCCATGTCACAATGTATACCAGAGTTTCTCAGGATTAGGTCCATGGGCATTTATTTGAAAGAGGGATGTATGAAAAGTATTTTTCCCTCTTTATTAAAGCCCATGGGTGTTCATTTAAAAGACTTCTTAATAAACATCCTGTGGGCGAAAGCATTCGAGAAAAGGATTGAAATTGAAAACAAAAGTGGCAAACAGCACAGAGAATTTGTGTAAACTTGACATGATGTAGCAAAAATATGACGAAAGGTCAAATATTGGTCAACATTCTTGCCTGCATTCATGATAAATTATTACGTGAGTATGAAGGCCATGTGTCAGATTGCAATTGATAATATCTCTCGAAATAAATGCCCACTGACTTTGGAAAGCTATTAATAAACGCCCATCCCAATTAGAAGTTTTTTCCCCTCTTAATAAAGGCCTATGGGCGTTTATTGAAAATTATTTCAAATAAATTCCATGTGCAAAATAAACTCCCATGGGCCTTTTTGCGAGAAACTCCATTAAGAATAAGTTAGTCCCAATATTGTGATGGTATGACCTTAATTACAAAGTTCTGTAGGGATCAAATGAAGCCCTCCATCCATCTGTCAGCCCATCCGGGAGATAACTTGAATACTATTAGTCGGATTTTCTTCATATTTGATGGAAAGATGTATATTGGTGATTATTTTTACGCAAACTTTTTTTTTCAAGATGTCCACCACTCTAAAAATGGCAGGAATCTTTAGGAAAAAATATAAGTTTTTCATTTTAACCCAAAGTAATAAATATTATTATTGTATATTCCGTGTTTTTCACCCTGACCTTAGGGGCTGTTGCATCTTCTTTCACTCGGCTCCCGTCAGTTGCCTTCTTATATTTAGCGTAAAAATCCTGACAATGTATATGGGGTGCGCCATGGCGCAACCTAGAATGTGCCCAATCAGCGTTCAGCATTTTAAATATACCCGCTAGAAAAGAATGGACGCACTATTCAAAACTTTTATTACTGTAAACATTGATTAACTCATGGACAATCGTTCTAAATGGATTATAACAGACGTAGGCCTACTGCTATCAAAGATGAGTAAAACAATTCAAATGACTCCTCGTCGAAAAATTTACCGCATTTTGTTTTAAGCATAGATGGAGTGAATAAAAGTTGAACGCTGATTGGCTTATCGTGTTTTTGTGGCGACTCACTGTCAAAGGTCAATGCGACCAGCTGTGTTTACAAAGTGGCTTCGGGTGCTTACTAAATAAGCGAAGGGATGAACGCAGTGAAGACCGAGTGTGCGAAGATGGGCTGTTGGGAAAACAGGAATTTGCATTAACTTTGAGATCTTTCTAAAGTATAGCTTCATTATTATCCCATCGAACGAAGTTCGGAGGGATATAGGGAACGCCTCCATCCGTCCATCCGTACATCCGTACGTCCGTCCGTACATACATTCGTACGTACGTCCGTCTGTTCGGGCAATAACTCAAATACCGTTGGCCCGATTTTGTTCATATTTTGTACACATATACCCTATGGGGGTAGAAGTTCTGCTCGTAAGCTCATTTCAAAATGGCAGCCATTTTAGTGCCGAATTTACAGTAATTTAGGTGCAATATGTAAAACTGTAATAGCAATATGTTTTAGATGTAAAAAATTATATAGGACATTAATAAAGCTAGAAATGTAGATATTAAAGAAGCACATGGAAGCCATCTTGAAAAATGGCGGCCTTTACTTGTTATTTTACGATTTTTGCTGTAACTCGAAAAGTAGTGGAGCGATTTTGTTCATATTTGGTACGTGAATACTATAAACATTGCACACTGTCTAAAGACACTTTTGGTGGAAGGTGGCCATTTTGAAAAATGGCTACCATTTTAACGTATTTTACTATAACTCGAAAAGTAGTGGAGCGATTTTGTTCATATTTGGTATGTGAATACTATTAAGCATGGCACACTGTCTAATGACACTTTTGGTAGAAGGTGGCCATTTTTCAAAATGGCCGCCACTTTAACGTATTTTACTATAACTCGAAAAGTAGTGGAGCGATTTTGTTCATATTTGGTATGTGAATACTATAAGCATGGCACACAGTCTAATGACACTTTTGGTAGAAGGCGGTCATTTTTCAAAATAGCCACCATTTTAACCTATTTTACTATAACTCAAAAAGTAGTAGAGCGATTTTGTTTATATTTGGTATGTAAATACTATAAGCACGGCACACTGTCTTATGGTACTTTTGGTAGAAGGTGGCCATTGTCATTTTAACGTATTTTACTATAACTTGAAAAGTAGTGGAGCGATTTTGTTCATATTTGGTATGTGAATACTATAAGCATGGCACATGGTCTAATGACACTTTTGGTAGAAGGCGGCCATTTTGAAAAATGGCTGCCATTTTTGCTATGTACTTTGTTTGTAAAAATGCCATCTATGGCTGTTCGATGGGATTCGCTATGCTTTGGCGTTGCCGTTGTTCTGGTTATACTCAGATGAAAGGCATTTAAAGTAGATTGCAAATATTGTATCTTTTTCTGATTCAAAGTATGGCTATATTATAATCAAATTGAAGGAATTTAGAGTGCATCACAATTATGGTATTGTTCTTCTGATTTGTGCCTCAGAAAATTCAAAATAGCTGCCTCCCAGGAATTCGCAATTCTAAAATCAAAATTTTCATTTGTAACCAAAGTAATGAATTATACTGATTGGTATTATGGTAATTGTTTATTGTTCGTTGGTATTTGCTACTCAGTAGAGTTGCCGTTTTCTAGTTTGACCTTATATTAAGTTCTAAACACGATGTAACTTCATTACTGCCCTATTGAATGAATACCCATGGCCAGCACCTGGATAATTCTTCCAGCAAACACATGCAGCAAATGCATGACAAGTTGGTCCTTGCTCGTATGTCGCAAACAGGTTTGAGTTATGACAAGCTGCATGCCACCACGCCCCTTTAAATGTTACAGCACAATTGCTACCATAGGGGTCATTGTCTTGATCGTATGTTGTGAATCGCTGTCCATTTTGAGATGCCATCGCGTCTCCTGCTGTTCCAGAATACCCACCGATATTAATACGGTATTTATCACTCTCATCAGCCAGGTTAAATGTGGAATACTCAGCAAATCCAGTAGGTGGGTTAAGATTGCTAGATGGCCATGGTGTTAAGTCAAATCGAACTTTATAACTCCTTTGCTTCAGGACACTGACAAGGTTGTCAAGTCCGATGAAGTGTTCAAGGCTGACATTACCAAAACCTTGCTGAAATTCAACCCAGTTGCGGTAGAAGTCTACACTTCCGTCAAACCTAAAACAAAGATTGGACTTTGATGAAGAAAGGGCACATTTATGTTTTGTCGTATTCTAATTAGATTCTATGCAACAGTCAAAGGTTTGCATTAACATTCACATTCCCAGTCAATATTTATAGCTGAAATGAATACAAAACTCTTTGGCAAACCAATCTTTTGAATATTACATCATTATCGGATTGAAATGAATGAATCAATATATCAGCTGAGTGATAAGTCAAAAATAATATCAAGATGTTTTGGCTAAATATCTGGTAAATTTTGAAATGTTTATTGGTGTGAAACTTTTAACTGGTTAGTCTTTGCAATGTTAATGTGGCCATTTTAGATTTTCAATCTCAAAATCTTGGTAAATTTTTCAGGTGGCCATTTTAGACTTTGTGTCCCAAAAATTGTCTTTAAAATCTTGTCTTCATGATTCCAGCCAAACAGTTTGATCTGAAATGTTTATGGATCTTTCTTGGTATAAATATTAAGAACTCATTTCTTTTTGAGTATTCTGTGTTAAAATTAAGTTGACCATTTTTGATTTTCCATAGGCATTTGGGATGAAAAATATATATCTATATATGATAAATTGTCTGTGGGAGACATGTTGTTCATGTTGGTGTCCTTATTGTTTTTTTCAAATTCAAATGCCAACCTGTTGAATACATAAGTCCACCCTTGGTCACAGTAAGCATCAAAGATTCTCCCTTCATCTGTTTGGATTCTTCGAACTCCAGTGTATGTAGGATCTCCACCGCAGTCCCCATCTAGAATGTAACAAATTACAAGTATATAAACATATCACCAGTTTTTTCAAATTTCTCTAGTTGCCGTCTATAAAAACAAAAACAGGCATCATCATCACTTGCAGCCTAGCTTCTCTATCTCTTTCACTAAAGCACAAAGTTCTTTCCTCTGAGTCTCCATTTCCTCAGCACTGTGAATAAAATCCCCAGAAAATGTCAAATTGGCTCAAAAAGGGGCCAACCCAACCTCCCAGGTTGTCAATGTTATTTTCAACAATTCATCTAAAAATAACTCACAGACAAATATTAAATGCAACTAGACTAAATTTTTATTTTGTGTAACACTTTTAGTGTTTTTACATTTTTAATTGTCTAACCTCTTTGCTCACATGTTGCTCCAGAGAAACCTTGCATACATTGACATGTGAAGTCAAAAGGCCCAGTAGGAGTACATGTACCACCATTTTGGCAGGGAGCATGCACACAGCCATCTGTAATACAAATATCTATCATTAGCTCTGGAGAAGTTAGGTATTTGTAAACAAAATACCTGAATATGAGCACTTTTTCTTGGTCCTACATTAGTTACCGACCATTGAATCACATGATGTATATCTCATTCATATGTTATCTTAGTCCCAGAGGAGGGAAAGTCCCAGAGTTTAAAGATGACAGACATAATTACGTCTCTTCCTTACCACCTTCGTTCGTTTGAATTTTCATAGGCTAGTTATCAAATACTACACTTCGATGGGATATTTTAATTGATATAGGCATATTCCGTACACCTTTCTTTATCTTGATGTGAAATGAGAAGCTATGATATTGGTTAACATGCCAGAAATGAACATAATATTATTCGAAGCGTATTTCGAAAATTTTGAAACCGCCATTGATGACGTCATTTGTTTGTTGACTTTTGACCAATCAGCGACGATGTCATCTCAATACATATTTACATTATAAGCGTATGTCATCTTTGAACCCTGGTGTTTCTCCCCCTCTGTCTTAGTCCCATGGTCCCATGTGAGACTAGGTGGAACTCGACTGGGCAAGTTAGGACTCGGTGATGCACATTGGGACTCGATGGGGCAAAGTCAATAATGCTTCGTGGGACTCGATGAGGCAAATTTGGATTTTGCCCCAATGGTGTATACTGTATATTATGTGGTCTTCCTGGGGACTATATTCTATGACAGTATTCTCAAGGAAAATCCAATATATACATGAAATGTTAAAATGGTTTTGCACATTTATATTTTCACATATTTGGAATACAATTTTTCGGGCTGAAATGTGGTGTCTTTCTTCTGCTGATGAGGAGACCCTGACAGTTCCTAAGAGGCAAATATTCAAAACAGTCCAGATGTGTCTTCTGATGAAGTTCTGGCAACTATGGGAGTCACGTCAATTTGCAGTTTGATGATGATAATGAAATTGAATTTCTGGCACAGACTAGGTCTATGTGTCTGCAAACATCACTTCATACATTTCATCTTTTTATGGAGACTGACCTCGTACATTTTTCATGATGTTTGTCATTTGGTAATTGTAAGTGATATCATGAGTAGCGTTGCTGAGTATATCATTCTCAAAGAATATGTTGACATTTTTTAAATGAAACCTTTTGCAAGGATCAAGTTACCAAGTCATCAATTTCACTCTGTAGAGTCCAGTCATAACAATGACAACCGTTCACTAATGTACCTTTTTGTAAGGGTCAAGTTGGCAAGTCATCAATTTCACTCTGTATAGTCCAGTCATCACCATGACTACCGTTTAACTAGTGACCTTGAGTTCGTTATTGGTTGCATAACAGAATGCAGTTACGTGAAATAGCGTGTTCTGATTAGGTGGAACACCTTGCCTCAGCTATGTGTGAATTGGCCAAATAATGGTACCCTATAAACCCCAAAAGGCACGCTATACTGCTTAATATGACACCCCACACCTACAATTTACCCAAACCATTTTTGAGCACCTTGTAGACCCCATGCCCAACAACCAATGCCTTTTTACCCAAACCCTGCAATGAATGTACATCTGATTGTTCAATATCTCAAAGTCTATACTTACTACACAGTGGGATAGCTGGTGATGTTGCTACAGTAGCTTCTTCAGAAATCTATAAATATTATAAATTGATTTTATGGATAATACAGTCAGCCACTGTTAATCAGTTTATGTAAGATCATTATATAGGCGTTTTACAAAAATATAACATAAGAAAATGTATTTGTATCAAAAGCCACATGTCCGGTCATTTGTTCGTCCTTTTGTGTGTTCACGTCAATAACTCAAATACCGGTTGACAGATTTGTTTAAAATTTTATAGACTTATGCCTTATGGGAGTAGGACCACTGTTCAAGATATGGCCACTAATTTCAAAATGGTCGCCAATGTCAAATATTTTTTTCAAAATCACCTCCCTCCAATGACCTTCTCAAGGTCAAAAAGGTCTTGCTTTAAATTGATCAAATGTATTTTTTCAAAATCATCTACAAGTTCTCAGAAGTTCAAATCTGACTTTGGATTTGAGATGTGACCTTCAATGACCTTTCCAAGGTGAAAAGGTTTTTTCAACTTGCTTCAAATTGACCTTTTTTTAAATCATCTACAATTTGTCAGAAATTCAAATCTGACTTTAGATTTGACCTTCAATGAACTTTTCAAGGTCAAAAAGAGTATTTTTCAACTTGCTTCAAATTGACTAAAAAAAATTCAAAATCATCTACAAGTTCTCACAAGTTCAAGTCTGACTCTAGATTTGATTTAAATGATCTTCTCAAGTTCAAAAAGGGTCAAAAAGGTAACTTTTCAACTTCTATCAATTTTTCAAAGTCATCTACAAGTTCTCAGACATTCAAATCTGATTTTTAGATTTAATACTTGACCTTCAATGATATTTTCAAGGTAGAAAGGTCAAAGAGGTCTTTTTTCAACTTGCATCAAATTTTGGCCAATTTATTTTTTCAAAATCTACAAGTTCTCAGAAGTTTAAATCTGACTTAAGATTGAACTCATAATATTGTGAGCAACTAGGTGGTGACATTTTGTCATGTTATTAATTTAGGGTCAACTTACATGTTTGTAATAGGTCATGGTTGTGTTTGGCGCTAATGCAGAATTGTTAACATCCGAAGAACAGAACACCAGGTCACATAGAGACATCTTTTGTTTTGCTCCCAGCTCAAAATTAAATGAGAAACAGGCAGAATTTGTAGTGCATGATTCTCCACACTTTCCCAAACTTTTCACATTTATACTGTCCATTGTATATCCATGCAAAGTGTATCCAGGTACTTTCTGGAATAGTGTTGATGATACTGATGATATTTCACAAGTTATAACAAAGAAATATATAAGAAAGTCTGTCGAGTAAGACATGATAAAATCCTTGTCATTTATGGACATCAAGCAAGCAGTTTTCTGGAATATTGTGCATTGAATTTATTGTTACATCATTCATTAACTAAACAATGGTTGTCAATGTCAGGATTGGATTTCTAAAATAATATTCATACTTTACATGGGTTCACGACACTTGATCATATTCATATATATACCAGGATATTCTTATAATGTAGAATAATGATTTCCCATTTTGAAATGAAAAGGAAATTTGTAGCTACTAATTGATTCCCCCCCCCCCCATGTGATTCCCCACAAATAAAGTGTGTGACGATACAGTACTAAAAGATGCATTTTGTAATTCGATGCATCCTTAATAGATATCTATTTTTGGGTTTTCTCTCAAAATAATCCAAAATGAATGAAGGAAATGTTCAATTTTAGAAGTTTTGTTTCAACATTTTTAGTTTTCTGAGTCTCCCAGGGGCTTATTACAGTGAACACTGTATATGTAATATGTTATGTTTTTTTATTCAAAAATTGATCATACCCCTTACTGAGCTTAATCATTGAAATGAGAAAGATTTATTGAAATCTGATAAGACTTCATAAAATAATATAATAATGATTTATGATAACAAGACAAAGCAAAACATTTTGTAAGACTTTCTAGAATTTGACTGATTCCTATTAAATATTGATACACATGAATTTTTGATGTAGAAAACATTGATCTGATCTGAATAAAGTACATCTAAAGTACATATTTATGTTTGAATGTTAAGATGTCTATGTTTTACAATCAACCAACTTCAGAGTTTTACTTTAACATTTTGATCCCTTTATATGTGGATATTTTTATTGTTACATGTGAATATTACCATGTTTTGACCATGTAACACTACATATGATTTCTTTATATATTTTGGACAATCAACAATTTTCAGCTTGTTTTGAGAAACAAGATGATACTTTGTGTAATTATGAAATTCAACATCTTTGTACTGTATGCCATGAAATAGAGACACTTGCAGTCATACCATTGCCTTAAATAATCAGTTCTAATGCTCAATCACAACATTAAGGGCAGTCTTATTGCTTAACGAAGCAAGATGACATTGTCTATATAAACATGTAAAATTCCAATGGGCCAAATTCCTACTTTGAAATACCGATGGTTCAAATTCTTACTTTGCTTTCTTCATTAGAAATCTGCTTTATGCGCAATATCTGCCCACAATATATGCCATTTTTGTACTTTGGTACACCTAATGTGCAAAATGTTATTGAAAATAGATGGATATGATGAACCTGTTCGATACAAATTAATTGTTCACTTGCCACTTTAGCTTAAGTAAACTCATTAAATTGTACCAAACACTTCAAGTAATTAATAACTATTTTCTGTCTTCCAGATCACCTGTTTCAAATCCTGTTCCAGTGAAGAAGATGAAGAATCAACAATGTAAGAGAAGACAAACCAGAAAGAAGAAGACAAAAGTGGTGAGAAAAAAACAAGGATCAAAAGGCCAGTATGTCATAGCTGAAGTCAAGATCAACTCTGCTATAACAAACCCCATTGCCCCAGCAGCAAAGGAAAAAATTGACACTCTTGTCCCACCTCATTCAACTCCCATAGCAAACTCAGATCAAATTGCCAAACCATGTCCAAATAATGAAATTGCCATACCTGAAAACACAGACATTCAAGATGAGAATAAAGGTGATGACAATGATGTTGAAGCAGAAAAAACTGCCCAAAAGGCTGGTAAAGAAAATAAAAAGCAAGTTGATGATGATGACGATTTCCTACCTGACCCAGATGATGCTGATAGTGACACAGATGAGTATATAGAAGATGATGACTTGCCAAGTGATATTGGTGCTGATGATGAAGTTATTGATGGTAACTACTTTTGACATTGTTTCATGGGGGTTATCTCCTTTGTACTAAACTTTTACACATTCTATTTTCTTAATATTCAAGTCTATGGAAGTGTAGAATATACTCCATAAATAATTTTCAATACTTTTCATTTCCAGTCTCTTAGTTTACCACTCACCCCTGATTTAAATTAATTAACAGCATTATCAAAATGCCACTCTAATTTTGAGAAATTGGTCATTACCTCCATTGTAATCCAAGATTTGCCCTTTGTTGAACTTAACTGCTATATCAGTATATCTGGAATTTGGGGAATTTCATCATTTATTCATAAAACATCTTGTCCTAAGAATGTTATTATCTCCAATCCAATATTTGTAATATACCAGATATATGTAGAGGGGTGCAGCTAGCTAAAATATCAGCCATATTTGGTGAAACATGAACAGTTTTGACCAATTTTAACAATCACAAAAACCAAAGGGTTGTATTAAAATTAGGCAAAACATCAGGTTTTGGGTTACAAGAAAATTTGAATATTGGGTTATAAGATAAAACACAGCAATGTAAATCATATATGTTCAGTGTCACCATCAATGTGCAGCATTTGTATCATTTGTTATTTCACATTTGTAATTGCATGGGCTTTCAATATAATGTCCATGATAATTGCAACCATGTGATGACATTTTGTCCTGTTAATACCATTATAAATATTGAAGATTATTTTTCCAGCTGACTCAGATGATGACTATGTACCAGCCTCATGTAAATCCAAGAAGGCTGCAACTAAAAGAGGCGCAATAAATAAGTTCTCAGCCATGTCAGCAACATCATCTAATAGAGGCCAGCCCTATTCATCGTTGCCTAGTTGCACTGTTACCAAGGCAACTGCTGAAATAATTGATGAGATTGATATATCTGATTCCGCAGAAATAGGAGAGAACTGTAGTATCCTAGCAACCCCATCATCAAGCAAGAAATCTGTAAGTGCAAATTCTGGCTGGTGAAACATCCACATGATGCAGTGCTCTCCCTAGCATTGGACCTAAAAGGTTCTGTCAATTGCCTGTTCAAAATATGTTTCTGCCTCTCTTGGGTGGAATGTTGAGATATTTTGACCAAATAGGCAAAATCTGAATTGAACAACCTGTTGAGAATTTCCTTGAGATTACTATTTTAAAGAAAGACCTCTTTAAAGCACATTAATTGAGATAATTAACATTTTAGTCCTTTGACCCACCTTATATATTCAGTTTATTTTTCCAAACATTGATGTTGATTAATTAAAAGACATTGATTTTATAGCAAAGGGTTCATTTACCTTCAGTTTTTTGATATTCAAGTATTAATACTGTACGTATATAACATATTAATGTTTAAATTTAATCGATGAATCTCAAGTTAGACATTTATGAGTAGAACACCATATATAGTCTAATAATTATCCCATCAATGAAGTTTGGGAGAATATTTAGAGAATGGCTCCGTCCATAATCCCTTCTTACTGGGCAATAAGGCAAATACCATTGGCCTAATATTGATTATTGATAATTTGATAACTAGTGGATCGATTTTGCTTACCCCCATAAATGTGTGGTCGATTTTTCAAATCTCAGCTACTTGTGTATTAAAAAATTGAGGTTGTAAAATGCTGTCAGTTATTGACCCAAAACTGAATTTTATCTAAATAACCACTAGTTAAGCTTATTTTCAACCTCAAGATTTCAATGCAGAAGTAGTTGTGGGGGTGATTTGAAAAATCAACCTCACATTTATGGGGGTAACTTTGTTGAAATTTGATATGTGAATAGATACTTTGAAGCATATTACACTATTGCCATCTTTTTTCTTGTTCTTGTTTGTCCAGCATTAGAATCATAACAACAAAAACCATTATTAATAGTAATGGCAAATAGATTACCTTAGATCTTATTATTGCCAGTTACCAATAAATCAATAAATAAAATAATAATAAATAAATAAATAATAAATAAAAAAAAATAATAATAATAAATCAATAAATAATAAATCACATGTGATCTCAGTTTTTCAGATCTGAGAAAATCCTCTGGCATACATTGCGCCATAAATCAGAGAAACTTGGTCTAAAATGATCGGTGTTTAGTGTTCTTATAGTACAGGGTGACCCAAAAAAAATGCAACCCTCCATTTCTTCAATATTTTTCTTAAATGGAGGTGAATTGCTCTGAATTTGGCACACAAGGACTTCATTCAATGTGGGATCCTCTTGTGAAGTTTCAATAATCATAGTCATATATTGATAGAGTTATGGTCATTCCAAAATATGCTCCAAATGTCGTCCATTTCCAATGTTAGGTTTTCGAATGAATCACACTCCCTTCTTTCTGAACATGTAAACTCAAGAAATAATGTGTTCTGGGATCACAAATTCCAGATGTAGTGCTTCAAAGGCCCCTTCATTCTGTTAAATGCACAGCTTGGGCTGCCAATTTCCAAACATGAAACAGTAATGGCAAATAGATTACCTTAGATCTTATAATTGCCAGTTGCAATAAAATCAATAAATAAAATAATAATAAATAAATAAATAAAAAATAAATAAATAAATAAATAATAAATCACATGTGATCTCAGTTTTTCAGATCTGAGAAAATCCTCTGGCATACATTGCGCCATAAATCAGAGAAACTTGGTCTAAAATGATCGGTGTTTAGTGTTCTTATAGTATATGTTTATAAAATCTTTCAGAAATCTGCATTTGATGTCCTGCGCGGGAAGAGTCTCCCAGAGCCTAAGACCCCCAAGGCGAAACATAATGCACGGTTCTACTTTAACCAGGAAAATAGGGCAAGTGTCAAGGCTGACGTTGGGGGTCCAGCCAAGGTGGTCAACCAGGCACTTACTGAGAGATGGAACAAACTCACAATTGAAGGTTAGTGATTTATTTGTGTTGTTTCATGTCGACACCAAGAAGTATGATATATTGACATAAAGTTATGGTTTCCAACTTTTTTTGTGGATGGCATTCTGTGGCTGGTTTGTGTATGGGATCTGGCATTTGTAACAAATGGCAGGTGATGACATTTTGCATGTTAATGCCTTGTATTAGCAATCATTTTTTTGTTATCAGAGGTTGTGGCTTGATGCCTGTAACAAATTGCTATCTTAAACAGGTGGTGACATTTTGTCATGGCGATTATTCTTTAATAGGATGTATTTCCCTCACTCAGAGATGGAATAAACTCTATCAAAAAGTTAGAGTTATGTGGCATTCTAAATCCAATGTTATAAATTGGTGTTTTATTGAGTTGGTTCCCTTTATAAGCATGTAGATGGTAAATCTACTGTACTTATTTCAGAGAGAAGTGAATATGAAGCAATGGCAAATGCTGATGCGAAACGTTTTAACATTGAACGTGAGGAATACCTTGCTGAATTGAAGAGGAATGAAGAAACCCTGGCTGCAGAGGAGAAAGAACGCCTAGCTGAGAAGGAGGAAAGAGAGGCGAACATGGAGGCTGTGAAACTACAAGAAGGCAGCTTCCAGGTAGATGTACACAAAGAGTACACTACTCTCAAAAAGTTTTAACAACCCTAATTCCAGATTTGATAATGTTTGAAAGCCTATTCATAGTTTTGAATTTGGATAATTTCCTCGAAATTAGTTTGAAAAATGATGACAAAGGTGGATTTTGGAATATTATCAAAAAATAAGGCTTGAACACTTGGTCCAATGAGGAAGTCAGGTTTGCAAGCACATTTAAGGCAAGTGTAGCTAGCACTACTGTTAAACTGATTTTTCTTTATTTTCTTCAAATTTATTCAAATGCTAGAGGATATCAATTAATTCTCGAGCTGATATACTTTTTGGTAGCTTACTTTGTGTGTTTTTTTGATGTCGTGTGCCTTATTTCACTTTACTTCATGGAATTTGGTTTAAGACATGTCAACTTATGTCAAGGTTAGTTTAGAACATGCTTACTTAATGTGGAAAAAAAATCAGGACATGCTTCTTGTTGAAATGCTTCCTAATAATGTCAAAATTTTTTAAAACATGTCAACTTTTGCCAAGATTCTTTAGAATTTATATGACAACTCCATTTGGACATGTTATTAATGTCAAGATGCTTTCAGGACATGTTGAAGTATGTGAAGAAAAGCCGTAAAGCATTCAAGGAGCTCAACATATTAGATGAACAGACAGCTGCTGAACAACGTAAGAATGAACTCTTGAAACTCCGTGTTCCCCAAGATGCTGCTAACCTGAAGCAAAGTATCAGCAACCAGATTGCCAGTCAAATGAAATACTTCCAGGGGATTAAATATCGAGGTGGATCAATTCGTATTGAAATTCCAAATGTCTCCAAGGAAATCTATGATCATATTTTCAAAGATTCCTCACATATTAGTGACCCAGATACATTTTTCGGGAAAACATTTTCTAAGACGCTACGATATGGCGCTGAACTGACCATAACAAGTGGTTTAAGTGTTCGCTATACCAAGACCAGCAGCCTGTTGGTCGTGTCTGGGGGCTATGGCATGGATAACTGCGGAGGAGGATGGGGCGGTGGTGGGTGGGGAAGAAGAAGAAGAAGGTGGGTGTTTCCTTTTTGATGAAACAGACATTTGAGAAGTGTGAATTGATTTTGATAATATAGTTGGAACATCTACACACATTTTTCAGGGCCTAGGGATTTTAGTAACAATTAACATTGAGACTAATTATAAACAGACTAGAGATTTTTGCTTATTATACCAATTTTTCTGAAAAAATTCTTGGCTCCTACACCAAGATAAAAGTTGGCTTTGTTCATGTACTATCTCTATCATAAGTGGGTAGACTTTCTTACATAAGCAAAACTGGAATGCATACGTTAGTATTATGCCTTTAGAGAATGTATTATTAGACCATTATGTAAGTACATGTAGACTGTATCTTGTATTAGAACACAGTGTCTTATATCGATAGACTCTACCATTTCTTGTGATCTTATTCTTCTTATATTTGAAGACAGTGTTCTATATCAGTAAATAAACAGTGCTATATTAGCATATGATATTCTATAGTATTATACTGAGTCCTATATTAGTAAACAGTGTCCTTTATAGAGGAGTGTCTTCAAAAAGTATTAGACTGTATCCTATATTAGTAAACAGTGCTCCATATTAGTAGAGTGTCTTCAAAAGTAGAATGCTGTATCCTTTATTAGTAAATAGTATCCTATATTAGTATATGGTCTTCTATAGTAGTAGACTGTATCCTATACTAGTATTAGTAAACAGTGTCCTATATCAGTAGAGTGTCTTCAAATGTTATATACTGTATCCTATATTAGTAAACAGTGTCCTATATTAGCATATGATATTCTAGTATTAGACTGTATCCTATATTAGTAAACAGTGCTCCATATTAGCTGAGTGTCTTCAAAAGTAGAATACTGTATCCTATATTAGTAAATAGTGTCCTATATTAGTATTTGGTCTTCTATAGTATTAGACTGTATCCTATATTAGTAAACAGTGCTCCATATTAGTAGAGTGTTTTCAAAAGTAGAATACTGTATCCTATATTAGTAAATAGTGTCCTATATTAGTATATGGTCTTCTATAGTAGTAGACTGTATCCTGTATTAGTAAACAGTGTCCTATCTTAGCTGAGTGTCTTCAAAAGTAGAATACTGTATCCTATATTAGTAAATAGTGTCCTATATTAGTATTTGGTCTTCTATAGTAGTAGACTGTATCCTATATTAGTAAACAGTGTCCTAGTATAGTGCGATACAAATTGTTCAAGCAACAGCCTACAGTAAGATGTTTTATGGTGTTTCATTATGCCAGCAATAAATACCATTTACAGAGTGGGCCAATAGAAACTGGAACATTTTTCTTTTAATTCTATTCTCTTTATTTTTGCAGTTCAATCCACAAAAATTCAGATACTGGTAAAATGATTATTTGTGAAAATGTTAAAGATAAAAAAATGTATGTATGATTAATTTTGGCTTGTCATGGTCATGATCCATATACTGTGTGCGTCATGAAAAATTTCCAAATTTTCTCTGCTTGAGACATCATTGCTGAAAATACAGTATCTCATACTATACAATATATGCCCTTCAAATGGTCTCAACACAATTTCCATCAATTAAAACATGTAGTCACTCTAAGAGAAGCTAGACATGTCTCCCTTAGATAATATGACTTAACCGACTTCAGCTTTTTTCAAAACTGGCACAATATGTCTCAAAACCTGTCATTAAACCCAAGCATGACTGTCAAATACAGCTCAGACTGATTGTTCAGGTGGGTGGAGGACATGTTCCTGTAATTAAATGTTGAGCTTGTATATTCATATTTACAGAATGACAATGAATTGTTCTTCAATTTTCTAAAGTATTGAAGATAATATAATACATGACTAACAAAAAAGTTACAATTGATGAAAATGTTCCAATTTTTTTACTCAACACAAAGGTTTCCTGAACTTGTCTGCCACCTACCTGAACAATCAGTCTGAGCTGTTTTTGGCGGTCATCCATGGCTTACATACTGTCACTTATTATGCCAGTTTTGAAAAAGAGTTGAGGTCAGTTAAGCTATATTATTCAAGGTAGACATGTCTTGCTTCTCTTAGAGATAACTACATATAATTCTAATTGATGGAAATTGTGATAAGACCATTTGAAGGGTACATATTGAATTGTATGAAAGATACTGTATTTTCAGCAGTGATGTCTCGAGCAGAGAAAATTTGGAAATTTTTCATGAGGCACGCAGTATACAGATCATGACCATGACAAGCCAAAATTAATCATACATACATACTTTAATCTTTAACATTTTCACAAATAATCATTTTACCAGTATCTGAATTTTTGTGGATTGAACTGCAAAAATAAAGAGAATGGAATAGATAGAAAAATGTTCCAGTTTTTATTGGCCCACCCGGTACATGTAGCTACACTGAATAAGGAAACTTTTATTGTGCTGCATTATGGTGCTCATTGTGGTGCACATTATACTACTTCAGTATATTGCTTTATAATGGTACATCATTTAATGTCTTGCCAGCTATAGATAGCATTAGCAGTACTAACGGAGGAAAAATTTCATGGTGCTAAATTTTAGTGTTACATTATGATGCTTCACTTTTGCTCAAATTTATGGTGCTACAACATAATGCTTTATTATGGTGGTTCATTTTGTTTTTTAGTGTCTCACTAGCAATACTAAATGAGGAAACTTATGGTGCTCATTTTGGCTCACATTTATGGTGCTTCATCATAATGCTTTATTATGGTTCTTCATTTGTTTTTTTTAGTGTCTCGCAAGCAATGCATAGCATTTAGCAATACTAAAAAACGAGGAAACTTTTATGGTGCTACATTATGGTGTTTCACTTTGGCATACATTTGTGATGCTTCATTGTGTTAACAATGGCTCCATCTCTTACATTGTACACTAGTAGGCCTCAAGCCGTAGTGTTTGATGATACTGACTGAAGGAGCCATTTTATGGTGCTTGTTTAGGATTAAACCAGATCAATTTTGATTTTAGATTAAATCGTAAGAGTTTAGTCTGTTTATAAATACTGTATATAATAGTAAAACTTGCCAATATTTTTTAGTATTACATTGATATATTTTAGTGTGAAGTTATTCATTGAAGTTGATAAGCAGAAGTAAGTCATAATTTCCTGACTAGTCAGATTATATATATGTTTGTCATTTAAGTAGACAGTAGAATCTCTTTTTGTACTGTTTTTGTACTTCAATCTCTGGATTAGTGAATCTCAAGAATTGTTAACTCAGGAATTTATTTATGTCAGATATTGTTTACATCAAAAAAGTTCTACCTGTGAATCATTTACATAAAATCTGGAGTTATTTACACCAGGAATGAATGCATAATTTGAGAATTGTTCCTTGGTTTTCCATATTACAGTGTGTAAGGAAGATGAAGATTATTTCATTGAGGGAACATTGTCTCTATGATTTGATGATTGGATATTTGTTTACTAAGAACAAAAACCAGATGTTACTTTTTTTGTGGAAAGCAGGTCAATCTTAATCCCACTATTTTTTCAATTTATTCTTAATGTCTAATAATAGGACAGTCAGGAAATCTGGCTGCTTTAAAAAAAACTTTGTGTTTAAGAATTCATATTTCTTGAAATTTGTGTTGGAAACTTGTACTATGTACTATTATTCTGTATTTAGCAATATATATTATATTCCCACAATACGCACATATCTTTATTGTTAAATATGTAGTGAAAACAGAATTCTAGAAAGTACTAGAAAGCCAAACCTTTCTAGTACTTCACTCATCTTGCTGATCAAAAATAAGTTAGTTTGTCATATAAGTAGGTCTACATAGAGGTATAATGTTCTATTTAATTTCATAACGATTGTCTGCTATATCCCTGCCATCTCTTTTGTTTCCCGGGTGTTCCGTCTTATTACACCGATACAACTGATTTCACTACATTGTTTACTTGGTCCCCCAAACTGGTGAATAAAGGGAGTGTCCATGATAAATCGTCCAATGCCTCATGGTCCATTTGAACAAATGCCAAGAGCTACAAGCAAAGTAATCTATTAAGTAATGTTCCCATGGATTAACATGGTCTCATAAGTCTGTCATATACATGTAGCTGTCATAAAAGGGACTTGAGGACAACTAGAAAAACAGCAACTCATGGAGTAGCAAATCCCACCGAACAAAATTGTAATTGTTTAAATTCACATGATTACAGTTATACTGATATCGTATGCTTAACATTAGCAAAATTCACACAATGTTAAAAAATTGATATCGTTTTTACATGGGCTTTCAACTAGAGGTCGAAACTTAATAAAATAAAGATTTCAGATTTTAGTTCAGTTTTCAATTGTACATACCCTTTTCACCCCTGCAACTTTGTATAATGTGCCCAGAAAATCACCCTTCGCTATTCCTCCAAGGACAACTCGGGCCTCTTCTTTCCAAATATGGCGAAACTCTTCAAACGTTCTCCCTTTATTTTATGAAAAGAAATGCCAATGAGCGAGGCAATACTAGGCCCTCTAATGTAAAGAGATTTTATGAAAGGAAATACCCATTGGCTGTAAACTTCATCTTCGAATTACAAATACGATCATTTATTTAAGGCGATGACTCCATTGACCTACCTTGGTATCCATAGGATACATCCATCCACATCGCTGTTTTGTTTGAGTCGATTTGTGGACCGGGCAACCCGTCTAAAATGCTTTGATCCAATTTCGTGATAGAGCTAGCAAGGTTCTCAATTCTGCGTAAAGGTGTCACTGTCACCTCATAGTGCACGGGTAATAAGCCAATCAGTTTTTCAAGATCTTCATTTTTAGCAGTATTCACAACTTAAAGACATTGAATATTAAATTCGATTGGAACTTCATTTTTACATTTTTTGACAGAAATTGTCAAGAATATACTTTCGTAAAATTTTTGGCGAGGCAGCCATATCTCACCTGCCCATGATCAATTTCTCATATTTTTTACAATCATTTCAGATGATCTAAATGTCTGGATTTTGCTTATGTCCAATAAACTTACGTTTTGACCATTCGCCCGAACTTTGAAACTATAATTAAGGAAACTTCAATAAACAGATCCAATCGTGATTACTGCCTGCACAATGCTTAAAAAGATAATCTAAAGTAACTAACCTGAAACAAAACTGCCTTCTCCTGTTATCTGAAAAGGATTATGAACATTTTAATAGCGACATCAAGTGACCTCAAATATATGCGTGCGCCCATGGACTAAAGGGTGTCCCAAGAATAATACCCAAATGAGAAGGAAAAAACGTCCACACATTAAAAGAAAATTCATTTTTCAATTAGTAGCTAAAAATCAAAGAAACAGTGAAATATGGATGGTGGTAATAAAACAAACTTTTTTCTAAATCTAAGTGTAAAGTAACCTAGTGATCTTTTTGATAATTAAATTGTCTGTGATAATTTCAAGAATATTCCTTCATAACTCACAGAGTTAATCTCTGTATATCTCGGTATAACTTTTTGGGACACCCTGTATATACATTTTTAACTTGAACTAGCATCGTCCGAAGCAAAGCCATCTTCTTCGAATTTCTCCCATTTCGGAGACGTTTCAGCATTTCGTTGTTTTTAGATTTCATGACGAATATTTGGAATCCAGAATTAACTTAGTTTAATAACTGAGACTGGGTTAAATGGTGTAGGTTGAATTTTGTCCAATATATTGGATAATTCTAACTCCAGTTTATACTATCCTGCTGTGGGCCAATGAATTAAAATAACACGGCTTTTTTCCTGCCCTTGCAGTGTGACAGTGTGCAGGGAAATGGATTTATCATGAACCTTTACGCGAACGTGAAAATATAGACCACTGATTCTACGGTTGAACGCGTACCTTATAAGACCTCTAAATGAAATATAGATTTGTCGTGAAATCGCTAAAAAATCATTCGACATTAGTCCATGACCACAAAAATTATTTACGTAATGTTTACGATTGAAAACCCAGATATACTCCAGATAATAGGAAGTTTAAGCTTGCATGTAAAATCGAAACGTCAACGCCAATATGTATGACCAATCGCCCATACAAATCCATCGCTTAGATATTTTTCGTTTACGTTTCGGTTGTGAAAAACTCCCTAATAATAAGTATAAAACACATCGATCCCTACCCATTGCCTTGAAAAATGTTATTATACAAACTTCACTACCATAATCATTTGTGCAACTAGATTTTTAGTGTTTATTTTTTGGAAAGTATACACACAGATATTGAACACTAACCTTGAACAGGTATTCGATGATATTTTCCATCTCCAGTTGAACTGCAGTTTTCCACTTTTGTATCTCGGTATTCAAAGTCTTTAGGACATCTTCATATGTAACTGCATCATTATGGAACTTTCCATTTTTATTATATGTAAATTGAATGAAATAGACTTGCATTTTTTCGTAATAAAGTTCAATATTCACAAATTTGACCAGCGTGAGTTTTTTGGCATTTGGTTTACCACAGGAACGTATCCGTTTATATTATTATATACATATGATTATTAATATAAAAGCATCACAATGTTTTTATTTGATAGTCCCTTTGCTTACAATTTCCAAAATACATGTATGAATAAAACCCTTGAGCATCTAACTTTTCCCTTTGCACAGTTTTCAGGATTGGATTTTTGAAAAATCATTTTCTCTTCGCATTATTGGGAAAACATTTCGGAAACACCCTCATGCTGAATGTTTACTTGTAACCTAGGTGACCATAGAATGGGATGATAACGCAAATGAATTGAAAGTAAAACCTTACAGTAACTCAATATAACTCAATTTCAGGTTTTATTGATTGTTCAAAAAACTGATTCCAATGTATTCATTCTAAATGTTTGGCCTTCGGAAATTCCAAACGGTAAGAGCAAAGTTTTAAGAAAACTTTGCATTCGTTCGACTTCACCCCTGAAAAGAGAGCTTCATCTTCAGTTAATAACTAGACTTTGTGCGCAGGGTAAATTTATTTTTTAACATCAGTTTAGCACCATACAGTCTCCAAATCTATACTTTCTACTCAAATCTATAATAAACTCGAACCTCAACAAACGATTTTTCAGTTCTTCAATACGACTGTTAATGAACAGGTTCTTATCCTTCGTGTTCTCATGAGGTAAGTGTGTCAACCAACAGTTCGGCAACACGAGAAATTCATACCCTGCAGCCTTTAGTTCCATTATATAACTGACCTTATTCATACCATAAGACCCAAAGCGTTCGTCAAACAGGGGCATATTATCGTGTTTACGTATCACAACATACGGTTCGTATTTGTCTTGGTACCGATCTATTCCGTAGAGGCTATCTGTGATGTACCAATGTTCATAGTCAGTTGAACTATGAGCACCGGCAGCGTTCTCCCAACGGAATGCCTGGATGCGAGGTTTATTACTTTTAACAATGTTGACCAGTTCTTCCTTATTGCTAGGTAAAGTCTCTATTGCGCATGACGTTTTGCATTCGAATGCAGGAACGATAAACGCTGCTCTGTTGAGGAGGGACTCTTGTCGGGTGGATTTATCGTGGAAGAAGTTGTTTTCCATCACAAGTTCAAACACTTCTTGGAAACTAGGAGAAGGGACAAAATCGGCGTCAGCTATGAACAAATATTCAGTTTTCACATGGTTCATAGCAGCATTGCGCATCACATTTATTTGATAATATTCATTAGGGTAATTTCCATATACAAATGTAACGTCACAGTATAGACCTTTTCCTAAATCAAGGTTCAGTATTGTCCCACACGCCGTTTTCTGTCGCTGTTCTTGAACGGCATGTCCGCCGGTTTCGTCCGCAGGAATATATAACGCCAGAGAAACTGGTCCTTCCCAAATGTTAAGAGTATGTACAACAGTGTCCAAACGATCAATAGACAGTTGAGCCACCAGTGTCACCGGAGTAGGTGCCGTAGTGTCAAATTTACCATTTGTTATGAGTATGTGGTCCGTTTTAAATTCAGGTACAACGGGGAATGGTGAAGGAACTTTTGGGCAGGATTCAATAAAGTCAGCTGCCCTAAATTCACGTTCATCCACTTCGATGCTCTTGTACAGAGGAATAATTGGTTTGACGTTAACATCACTGAATTTCACGATTCCTTTGTAGCCTTTACACGTTAGTACAATGGTAACACTGGTAACACTGGTGATTGGAGCTTTCTTCTGTGGAATGATGAAGTCGAGATATGTACGCGTGTACCCAGTTCCCCCGAGAGGAAGCTGCATTTCAACGCTGTCATTGGTTGAGTCGGAATATCGTACAAAAAACATGGCGCCAAAAAATCGTATCGCTTTACCTCGAGGCTCCGTCATATTTTCCCTATTACTCCAAAGGGAGAAATGAAATCCAGTAAGCGGCGATTCTCGCTTGATGGGAATGAACAAGTATGTGGATTTGATGCGGTATGGTTTGCACTCTGTAGTGAGGATATTTTTACAGTTATCAATGCCACCTATGCCACAGTCCCTGGCCACTGTCCACATCCCCTCATCCTTCATCCACCATCCTTTCTGAGAGGAAAGTCCATATTTGTCCACAATATCCATTGTCGCCAGGTTAACATCCAGTGTTTTGGCGTGATTGTTACAAAGGTACATTGCGCCATGGTGTATCACTATTTTCAGCATAAAAAACATACTTAGTCCCAAAAACATAAGTGTTATTGTCCGGTATGTTATTTTTCGAAACATGATTTCTCTTGAATAACAAGATTAGCCGATATGTAAAACATAAATGAAACTCAGAAGTGAATCTGAAAATACGTCTATATTAGAATTTTCAGTCGTATCATATGAAACATTATTTGTAGGAACTAAAGCTACTGTTAAAGTTGGATAAACACACACTGCAAGATAAAGATTAATTATTCCAACGGCTGTAGTCTAGAAGGATATAATGAAGCCAGCCGTCTGTCTGTCCGTTAAGTCAATTTGAACTGAGACAAGATGTATTTCATATTATGCTAGATTAGTTACTAAAACGGCAACCGAGTATTCATAAATGTGGTTTCTCAGTTCCTGCTTTTTAATATAGTTTGAACAATTTCTGCAACATAACATTTGATGAATACCTTGGAAATGCCACATGAATGGGAAAACCTATTTTATTCGTTAGAATATGCACTACAAAGCGGAGTTACCGTTTTCTAATTGATCTTTACATAATGTACATGCATGGGGAATTTATAATGTCGATTTATGTTCGGTGGAACGTTGCGACTTTAGGATGTTTATTTCAGATAAATTAGTTTTATGTGCAATAAACATGTGGCCTCTTGTAATTTAGAAAATTTCAACCATGTTACTTGTCATTTTTGGAAAATCACATGTCAAAGAAGCATTAATACAAAAGGCCGCACATTTCTTACCCAAACCACAAACAATCCAAAATATACTTGTAAACGTTTTGCGTTTAAACGTTTAATGATTTCCATCATGCAATGTGAAATGAAGATGACGGTTTCTTTAAATGTTTGCGAAGTCTTCTCTCTCATATTTAAAGAGTGGATGTTTCAATGGTACCAATCAGAATTCATAAATATGAAACATATCCTTCGAGACTTAGAGGGTACACCTTAGACTTCACCTTACACCTTAATTTTTATTTGTGTTTCATCTACTCCGATTATGTTACTGATACAAAAATACGGCTGCCAAGCGCTCACATTTCTTGAAATTAAAGTTATGTTGAATGAACGGGTAGTATAGGAATATAATTTTGTTTAATTCAAATTGTTTATTTATTATGAAAACGCTCCCCTTCCGCGAACAACTGTGCATTTTCAATGCTTTCTTTTATTATAATCTAAATAGTTTATAAGTCTGTCCAGAGCGCGTCTGTATAGAATTACTAACGCAAACAGACGGTCATAACTGTTTATGTACATTCTATAGGATTTCTGGGAAGTTCTGATGTTACAGATAATCTCCGGATTTATATAGTGATTACCACCAACCCCCGACACTAGGGCTTTCACCAATTTTTGTCGCATATTATGTAAATAGTTTTGGGATTTTGAGGAACTTATGTATGAGACGCTTTTAAAGCTGTCCCTTCATGTCAATTGTTGTACCGTTGAGTTGTTGAAACTACTGTTGAAGAAAAAACGTTCGACGTTTTATCAGTTGTTCTGAAGAATGATCATATCTTTGAATCATTTTAGATGTCACTACCGGTATTATTTCCTTGCAAGATCAAATTCGGCATAACTAACGGTTGGAATTTACATATCTGGTCGAGTGACGTGATCTCTTCGTTCTTCATCCTAGATCTATCTTGTTCTCACATGGTCCGTTCTGTCCCTACTGTTCCCACTTTCAACCGTGACAAAAACTTAAGTCCTAATAACAAGCGATTCTTTATTTTGATGGAACGATCTTGCACTTCCCTCGTATACTGTGCTTCTCTGGCAGTGCGTTTAAATGTATCTTTTGGGCATGAACTTGGTGTAAGACCACACGAAATTTAGTGTATTATATGTATAATATAATATAATATAATATAATATAATATAAAAGTATATATTATATATATAGTTATAATATTATTAAATGGCGTATTATATATATATAATATAAAATAATATAAAAGTATATGTTATATATAGTTATGTATTATATTCTTGCAAATGTGTATATGCATATATTTATTTATATATTTGTCTCCTCTGGTCCCCAGTCCCCAGTCCCCAGTAGTTATATATATATTTATATCGGTCTCCAGTCCCTCCTTTATATATGTTTGTGTATATGCATATACATGCACTTATTTATATATCTGTCTCCTCTGGTCCCCAGTCCCCAGTCCCCAGTAGCTATATATATATTTATATCGGTCTCCAGTCCCTCCTTTATATATGTTTGTGTATATGCATATACATGCACTTATTTATATATCTGTCTCCTCTGGTCCCCAGTCCCCAGTCCCCAGTAGCTATATATATATTTATATCGGTCTCCAGTCCCTCCTTTTTATATGTTTGTGTATATGCATATACATGCATCTATTTATATATTAGTCTCCTCTGGTCCCCAGTCCCCAGTCCCCAGTTACTATATATATAGGAGAGGTTTTTTTGAAAAACAATTTTGACTTTAAAGCCCTATAATTGTGTTAAACTTTAAGAAACATATCAATTTTTGTTAAATAAAGTTATCAAATTCAATTCCCTGCCTAACTCGTATTTTTGCAAGGACTCAGATGGATGGATATTCTGTCATATGACTTGCGGCAAACCTACCATTTCCCATTAACATGGGAATGTCGATTTTAAAAAATTCATCAAATTTATCATCGATTTTCGACTTATTGTAATTGAGGAAAAAAATTGAGAAAATTTGGTAATCATGGGGGGCTTTAAAGTCAAAATTGCTTTTCAAAAAAACCTCTCCTTTATATATACATGTAGTAACTGGGGACTGGGGACTGGGGACCAGAGGAGACTAATATATAAATAGATGCATGTATATGCATATACACAAACATATATGAAGGAGGGACTGGAGACCGATATAAATATATAGCTCACTGGGGACTGGGGACTGGGGACCAGAGGAGACTAATATATAAATAGATGCATGTATATGCATATATACAAACATATATAAAGGAGGGACTGGAGACTGATATAAATATATATATAGCTACTGGGGACTGGGGACTGGGGACCAGAGGAGACAGATATATAAATAAGTACATGTATATGCATAATATACATACATATATAAAGGAGGGACTGGAGACCGATATAAATATATATATAGCTACTGGGGACTGGGGACTGGGGACCAGAGGTGACAGATATATAAATAAGTACATGTATATGCATATACACAAACATATATAAAGGAGGGACTGGAGACCGATATAAATATATAGCTCACTGGGGACTGGGGACTGGGGACCAGAGGAGACAAATATATAAATAAATACATGCATATACACATTTACAAGAATATAATATTATATATTATATATATGCACTTATATATATATTTATATTATATTATATATATAATACGCCATTTAATAATATTATATAACTATTATATATAATATATACTTTTATATATTTATATTATATTATACATATAATACACTAAATTTCGTGTGGTCTTACACCAAGTTCATGCCATCTTTTGCCATGATTTTTTCATTTTTCAAATGATGTTTATGACAACTATGATCTAGCGGTCCATTTGACTACCAGTAGACGAATGAGTACTTTTCAATAAAAACATGGAATACGCCATAGTGTAAAAATAAACAATCCACAAGTGGAATTGTAGAGAAGGTGCAGGTACATATAAATTTGATTCTGAATCAAAACGTGAATGATGGTTGATTGAAATCAATGTCATTATTATGATGATATAGTAAAATATTAATTCTTGTCAATTGGTTTAATTATATGATGGTGGGATAGAGACAACCCAAGTATTCCGAGTTCAGGAAATCCATACTGCGTATTAATGTCGTAAAAGTGTATGAAAGGCGTTTAAGAAAAAGAGGCGTGATTCCCAAAAAATCTTAAAACCAGCTTAAAACGCTTTAAAATGATAGGTTGGGATACCCTATTTTATAAAACGCTTTCCACCAAGATGCTTTAGTAAGAGTTTTTCTAGTGTACGTAATTCTAATAAGCACTTGGATTTGCCATCCGCAGAGAGAATGGGATCGATTCAGTGAAATAATATCATCCAGGGACTAAATGCTACTAAAATAGCACAGATATTTTGATTTGAGAAATAACGTGATGAACTGAATGATGAATTCCCACCATGTGCCGATGACAGCTTTGAAAATGAAAAGATAAATAAAACGATCCACCCGGGATACGGCAGCTTATTCCTGAGTCCGTATTAACGAGAAAAAACAGGTACGCAAACACGTTTGATATGTTATGATATGGATAAAAAATGATAAAAATAGTCATTCATATTGGACTATACCTCACGATGATACGTGATAATGTGAATTCTTAGGGGATTCATTAAATGCTAATGGAGATATTCGAGGTCAAGCTAATCAGAATCATTATCGGGAATTGAGCAATGGCACTTCGTCGTCGTGTTCATTAAATGTAGAAGGGCAAATTATTAGCAGAAGCCGAGATAGTATCGTCTTAAAGGTGCACGAACCCTGGAACCCAAGGCTTATAACATGCGAAATGTTATCTGGAACTACATATTGATTTGATATTATGAACTAGAACGATTATCGTTTTAGATGCTACTCCATGAAATTAGTAAAAAACGTTAATTTCTTCTTAAGCGTCGTTCTTATGCAAGACAGAAATATATGATGAGTTTAACTTCCGCATATTTGGAATTAGCATTTCAATTAGGCTTATGCTTTATAATGGGAATGGTATTTTATGCTCATCCATGTTAGAAGTACATTTGATAAAGATAGTCTTATAAGAGATGTCTATGTTTCTATGAAATTTATATCTAATCCAGGATCTAACATTATTTATGGCTAAACGTAAATCGTAGGCTACACGGGCTTCCAACAGTTTGTTGGATTACGGTTTAAAAGTCTGACGCCAAGATGCTTTCTCCTTTTTATCAGCAACGTTTATAACGTTAACCTTTATGATAAGTGACAACATTGCCATTGTATATACATTGACTATTTTATCCTTTATGTTACAGATTGCTGGAAACATGAATGAATCTGAGTTGGATGGCATAACACAAAATACAACAAACGTTACCCAAGATGCAGTATGTTACCTTGGTAACTGGGACGGAGCCAATCATGTTGTGTTCCAAGTGGCCCATGGTGCCATGTTGGTGGGATACCTCTCCCCGGATACAACATACGGGACTCTTCTCATGCACATAATGTTACTCATCGGTAAGAAATATTATTGATTCTATAATTTGATTTTCCATTGGTTTTTGTTATTTAGATGGGTGTGTTAAACTTTTCATATGTTTCTCATTAGCTCATGGATTAATTGATATTTTTAGGTTATTTAGTTTTCTCTGCCTGGGCGTGGGTGATACTCTGTGCTCCTGACGTTTTCTCCTGGACGTTCAGTTTTATGGTGATCAATGGCATGCAGGTCCTTCTAACGTGCTACAGAATGAGACCTGTCAAATTCCCAAATGATCTAGATGAAGTCTACAAAAAGTTGTTCGGACCACTAAAGGTTCCAAGGTACGATGTGAACAACTTGTTAGATTGTTTGTGTGTGGATGTATTATATCAATATTTATTATATCTGAGTGGAGTGAGGTTGGATGTGTTTAACCAAAAATACCTTTGACCAAAAATGAACAAAAGACGGTTTTCGTGAAAAAGACATAACTTTAAGTGAATTTTAGTATATTAGGACATATCTTCCAAGTTACAGTCAAAGTTCGTTATATTTTAGGCACATCTTTAAAAAGCTGGTTAGTGCGGAGTATGCTACAATTATGACGCTACACGCTGGGGAGATCTATGCTACACAAAATGTCACAAAAACTGATCGACTCTCCCTCTTGATGTCGGGAAAGTAAGTACAAGAAAGTTGGCATATCAAAAGGTATCAAAAACGACCCTACAATCGATACAATAACGTCGAAGTAATTAACAAAACAATGGTAGTGTTTTTTTAGTAAAGAAATCAATTGAGAATCATAATCTAATCAACAGGCCAGGAAATATCATGAAGACTGCAGTTATGAAGTTCACATTGTGGTCGCCAGTCATTGTATTTTCTAATATTTTATTTTAGAGTAAATGTCATGTCCCATGGTCAATGTCTTCACCAGGTGTTTGAGAAAGAATTCATGGATTCACCAGAATATGAGGCCAACTGCAGCACTCAAGGGGATGAAAAATTCCAAGTGAGTTACCATGGCAACCAATAAATTATTTTATCATATTGCTGCCTCAATATCCAAAGATTCTATGATTAATGATCTCTAAGATAGCGTTATTAATGAAGTCCATTAAAATATTCTCATATTTATTCTGGTTGTTATGGTAACCTTTATAATTTTCTAGATTTAACATTGATAATTTTCTAGGTTTCCATAGTTGCAGCTGAGCCGTGTCGCTACATATTTTGGCAAAGGTCAAGCCTGGCATATTTCTGTGTCAAGGAACCCTATGTTGCCAACATTCTTGGTTTAATCATTGGCAGAGATATAACGAATAAGCTATATGCCATGTCTGATAAGGTAAAAATAAAATGGCAACGTTCGCCACATTTTAAAAGATGGGGGGAAATAACTTAACAATAACATGGTGTAAACATTCTGACATTGCATATTAAATGAACCGGGAAACTTGAGCAAAGAGAATCGTTGATTATTTTCAAATTGGTAAAACATATTCAAAATACTACAGGGTGGGCCAAAAAAACGCCACTTTTTCAAGACACTACAACTTTTTTATTTTCCAACCTACATACCCCAGATTTTGCAGTTATATAGTGCCAGGGGTTCTTAGTAATAATACAATGTAACAAGTCCTTCAACTTGGATTATATTGGATCTAAAAGGGGAGTTCAATTGGTTTGCCACCCTAAATGATGATATATTTTAGTTCTAGTCGCTTTGCTGATATAGCAGTATCAATGAAATGTTAGCTAAGTTTTTTTCAACCTGTCTTAATTGACAGCTTTAGTTGAGCAATTTTCTAGATTGGGTGACTTCATACAATCTCCTGTAGGCATTGCCATACCCTATACTCACTGGGGTTTGCATCAGGGCTATTAGCTTGGCGATCATCAGGCCGTATCAGTTCAGGAACATTTTGCAAAGTATGCTTATTTCTCATGGCACACCTATGTTTAAGTGATACGTTGGTGGCATATTTTATTCAGGTAAAAGTGTATAATTCATGATCCATGGCTAGATAACAACCTCAAGTTTCAATTGGTATGCAAATTATGATTTTGCATCAAAAAATAAAAAGGTTACAGCATTTTGAAAAAAGTGGCGTTTTTTTTGGCCCCCCCTGTATATTTATATTTGTCCTGCTTTCAATTTAATGAGCATGACTATTTTCATTCAGAATAATGTATTGTTTTTTTAATGTCACCACCACATATTGTTTTAGTTTCAAAACTTTTTGTGGACGAAGTTCGGCGGTCGGCGTTCAGCGTCTGTAACAAATGGTATGTGGTGGCACATCTGAATCAAATCTGATTCGTATTCTTCCAATTATTAGATGAAAACAAAGCAAGGCGGGAGACTCGATCTACGTCATCCTTGTTTGACGCTAGGTACGAAAGATGGCGCTGAAGACACTATTATACCTTCAAGATTGAAGAACTCCAATGACCAAGGTTATGACTCTAATGGTGATGAAGGTCTATATTGTTTTATTCATTTATATCTAAAGTTTTGATTTTACACTTGACGTTCCATCATGTATGAATAATACAATATAGGAACTGCCCTCTCGATACCCCTTTTTGCATTTGTCAGTAGCGACAGTTGAAACAAGTATCAATTTAGCGAAAATGTCGTTAAGATTGAATAACATGTATGCAAATGTGTCGTTAATTAGAAAAAACTTATTTTTAGAAGCTGGGTACAAAAATAAATATATCGCTAATTACAAGACAAAAGTTTTTGCATGTGTACAGTTCATGAAACATATCACTAATCACATATCAAAATGTTTGAATTGGTATGAGTTCATGAGTGTATCGCTGTTTTGATACATTTGAAAGACTTGAGATTTTGATGTTTTTTGTTTAGTAGATACGGACGAACCTGAGTGTAACTGGAAAGGAGGGGTGATGTTTCCAAATGGCAAGGCTGATCTTCCACAAATCAATGTCCATAAAACGGATGCCTCGTATAAGAGCAGCTTAGCTTCGCTTGCAGCAACAAGTCCTGCACTAAGAAGACATTAAAAGGAAACCATACTAGCATATAGATTCAGTTTGAATGTACAGTTCAGTGTGTGATCACTGAAAATTAAAATAAATAATATTTTGAAATATAACGTTCTCGGGAGAATACAATTTATGTTCCATGTAAATATACATGTTGCTATTAATGTTTATTCATGGACATGGACAGAAAATCTGATGATCTAAGAAAATGAGACGCTTTTATAATATTTGTCTTACCAAGTAACTGTTGCATATAAGCACGGACACTGCAAATCATTTTGACACTTAACCAACATATTTCTATCTGAATAAACATCGTTTGTTGTTATAAGATAATTTCCATGTTGATAGATCTACGAGCAGGTTAAGCGGTAAGCATGGCAACAGGTAGATCGGAAACTGTGTTGTTTATCTTATCTGTGAAAATTGCATGCGTCTACCTGTGATAAAACGCCTCAGTGGTCACGCTTCGTTACTCTATATCTTTATTTAATGTGCAAATGAGTTTGATTCCCTGGCGGCGTTTGGTACACATTTGATTGCTGAGAACATTGTTTTTCACGTTTCGTTGCTATTTCTATTCTTATTTGATGAATAATTGTAATTTCGAATATGACCATCTGAGAATTTCATTCATGGGTGTATTGAGATCTAAGGAGATACATAACAGAGGAAGGTCATGGATAGCTAGATACTATCGTATCATGGTGTAAACTGTTCACTTCTGAATTTAGTTTCTTCTCAGTTGAAGTGGACAAAAATTATGGATAAACCAATTAAATACATATGTACCTTCTAGACGGAGTTTCCTCTTTGAAGTAGAAACAAATTGTGGATAAACTAATTTTAGAATGGACAGAGTATTTTTTAATTGAAGCCTCTGCTAGATTTATTTTTCTCTTGTTTGAAGTGGACATAGAGATAGAAACTAATTCTAAACACTATACGTCTCTTCAAGATCTAGTTTCGTCTGAAGTGGACAATTATTAGATATTGTATGCCTCTTTTAGATTCAAATTTCTCTTGTTTGAAGTGGACTCAAATTATGGACAAACTAACTTTAAATACTATACGTCTCTTCAAGATCTTATTTTGTTTGAAGTGGACACAAATTATGGACAAACTAATTTTAAATACTATACGTCTCTTCAAGATCTTATTTTGTTTGAAGTGGACACAAATTATGGACAAACTAATTTTAAATACTATACGTCTCTTCAAGATCTTATTTTGTTTGAAGTGGACACAAATTATGGACAAACTAATTTTAAATACTATACGTCTCTTTAAGATCTTATTTTGTTTGAAGTGGACACGGATTATGGACAAACCAATTCTAAATACTGTACGTCTCTTCAAGATCTTATTTTGTTTGAAGTGGACACAAATTATGGACAAACTAATTCTAAATACTATACGTCTCTTCAAGATCTTATTTTGTTTGAAGTGGACACAAATTATGGACAAACTAATTCTAAATACTGTACGTCTCTTCAAGATCTTATTTTGTTTGAAGTGGACACAAATTATGGACAAACTAATTTTAAATACCATACGTCTCTTCAAGATCTAATTTTGTTTTGGACACTTATTATGGACAAACTAATTTTAGATACTGTATGCCTCTTCTAGATCAAGATTTCTCTTGTTTGAAGTGGACACAAATTATGGACAAACTAATTTTAAATACTATACGTCTCTTCAAGATCTAATTTTGTTTTGGACACTTATTATGGACAAACTAATTTTAGATACTGTATGCCTCTTTTAGATTCAAATTTCTCTTGTTTGAAGTGGACTCAAATTATGGACAAACTAACTTTAAATACTATACGTCTCTTCAAGATCTTATTTTGTTTGAAGTGGACACAAATTATGGACAAACTAATTTTAAATACTATACGTCTCTTCAAGATCTTATTTTGTTTGAAGTGGACACAAATTATGGACAAACTAATTTTAAATACTATACGTCTCTTTAAGATCTTATTTTGTTTGAAGTGGACACGGATTATGGACAAACTAATTCTAAATACTGTACGTCTCTTCAAGATCTTATTTTGTTTGAAGTGGACACAAATTATGGACAAACTAATTTTAAATACTATACGTCTCTTCAAGATCTAATTTTTTTTGGACACTTATTATGGACAAACTAATTTTAGATACTGTATGCCTCTTCTAGATCAAGATTTCTCTTGTTTGAAGTGGACACAAATTATGGACAAACTAATTTTAAATTCTATACGTCTCTTCAAGATCTAATTTTGTTTTGGACACTTATTATGGACAAACTAATTTTAGATACTGTATGCCTCTTCTAGATCAAGATTTCTCTTGTTTGAAGTGGACACAAATTATGGACAAACTAATTTTAAATACTATACGTCTCTTCAAGATCTAATTTTGTTTTGGACACTTATTATGGACAAACTAATTTTAGATACTGTATGCCTCTTCTAGATCAAGATTTCTCTTGTTTGAAGTGGACACAAATTATGGACAAACTAATTTTAAATACTATACGTCTCTTCAAGATCTAATTTTGTTTTGGACACTTATTATGGACAAACTAATTTTAGATACTGTATGCCTCTTCTAGATCAAAATTTCTCTTGTTTGAAGTGGACACAAATTATGGACAAACTAATTTTAAATTCTATACGTCTCTTCAAGATCTAATTTTGTTTTGGACACTTATTATGGACAAACTAATTTTAGATACTGTATGCCTCTTCTAGATCAAAATTTCTCTTGTTTGAAGTGGACACAAATTATGGACAAACTAATTTTAAATACTATACGTCTCTTCAAGATCTAATTTTGTTTTGGACACTTATTATGGACAAACTAACTCTAGATACTGTATGCCTCTTCTAGATCAAAATTTCTCTTGTCTGAAGTTGACACAAAGTATGGTCAGAACTAGTTCTAAATACTATACGCCTCCTCAATATGGACAATATAATATTTGAAATTGGAGTTAATCATGAATAATCATAAATAATTCAGAGTATGCCTCTTCTAAACTGATTTTTAATTTTAACATAAAGTCAAATTATGAACAAAATGATTTGAAATATGCCTCTTAGATCAATATTCCTCTAGGTTGAAGTGAACAGAATCTCTGACTATTTCCTACTTTTAACGATTCTGGATGCTAACATACTGACATGTAATTACATGTTGAGGGAGATAATGGAAGTTGGAAAACGAAACCTATACGATGGCAACTGTACTCAAAATCTGTCCTCATCTCCTGCTCAGAGCATCTGCCATGCTCAGTGAGGGAGATGCTATGAATGTCAGAATGCTAAATGAACACTAGAAGCAGTCATATCAAGTCAATTCGGAGGTTACGGTTTAAGCGTTTTTTGGACGGGAACGTGTATCATTACTTCAAGGGATTTATTCTCTTCTTGGTCGCATAGCATTCACTTGCCCGATTGAGTATAAACGTTCTAATTAGTTCTCATTAGGGTACAGGGAAAAGCGTGTGAGATGAGGACAGTAATCCTTGTGGGGCTTGCTATTACATCTACACATACAAGTTCTCTTTTTAACGTGTAGCTTAATTAGAGCTCCCTTCTATTAGCCAGGCCCTAGATTGGCATGACATTTAACTACACTGCCTTCCAATTTCAGCCCCTGTCAAATCGTAAATAATCGAGATTTTTATTGAACAGTTTTGCATTGATTAGTTGATCACATACAAATCAGTGTTGGAATCCTCAATTACGTTACATCTCACATTGCTCGATTGCCCAATTGAAATACGCTTTTGTAGGATTTATTTACGTCCCCCCCAAAAAAAGTTTGGCAATCATGACTACCCACTTAATAGCCTCCTAAAGTTGTTATGCTTAAAATGGAATTTTCTTTCTCATTACAAAGGATGGAAATTAATGACTTTAATAATTTTCTTTAAATCGCCAATTACAAATTGGATTTAGCGCGTTGTCCAATAGTCGAGTGAAGCACAGCGCATTGGTTGCACAGTTCCATGTACTGACTGGCCTTCAGTGTAAACTACTAATATCTCATAACTAGTTTATCTGATTTTTTGAAAGATATACTATTGTTGCCGTAGGCGTAAGTGTATTCTGGTATTGAACGCTGGTATTAAAACTTGACATTCTAATCATCTTTATAATTAGCTAGAAATTAACACAAGGCACCTGTGGCCCGAGAATGTACCTGCAACATTTTCTAGTGAGCGTTTTTTCATAAATGTGATTACCTTCTACTTAAACATTCTGATACTCATTGCATCTCTTTGCATCGCAGAAGGATAGAGATGGAGAGGGCGTGGCTTACCACAATGCTACTTAAAGGCCCCGTGCAAAGTTTGAAAATACATACATGTAGTCTAATCATTCAAATATTTCTTTTTCATGGCTTGGAAGACTATTTGAGACTTTTTTGAAAAAATGTTTTTTCTTATAATTTTCAACTATTTGAATTTCCCGCCATTTTAGAAACTAAGAACAGCCATTTTAACGGTTACCTCTATATGTTGTCAGCTGGGTTTGCAAATATTTCTTGGGGGTCATGTTCGTAAGAAGATTTAATCCCCTTTTCCATTTACTCGTTAGAAATAGTCCTTGAGATCACTGAAGTACGACTAACAAACCAAAATTACATTTTGTAACCATAGAAACCAATTAGTCTGTCTGAATTGCTTATATTCACGATCTCAAATTAAAAATATTTTGCTTTGTAGTATGACATGTTTTGTACAAAAGTGACTGTTCCGATGGCACTTAAATGGCACTTTTCGTTTTCTTCTCTTCGCAAATCAATGTCAGTGTGTTTGTTGTCTTAGGGACAAAGATCAAGAACAGGCCAGATACTGATTGAGAGATATGTACGTATAATTGAAATTAAGAGTTGAAGGTCCGGGTTCGAATTCTGTACTTGGCTTTGGAATTTCAACTTGAGCACACATTTACATATCGAGTTATCGTCATCACCCAACAATCACATATGCATCGCCCATCTTCTCTTTAGTATCAAATCAAATGACTTGAATTGTGTAGCAAGTGAATTGGAAATGATGCGCAGATGTGCAAAATCGACGAAAATCCATCATATCAATTGTGATTATTAGTCCTTGGAATGTCTCTCCAAGACCAAATTGATCTTACTATGAACCATAAACTATATCATGGACATAAACGCCAATAGGATGGAATCTAGGGCCTAACATTTTAATCAGCGACCTAATTTTGTAACCACTCTTATGAAGTCAGATTGTTTTACCCTAACAGAGCACCAGAGGTTCAAGAGGATTTTTCTAGTTTGAAACACATTTTCAAAAATGCCTGTTTATAGAAAATGGGCTTTATTTCTATTTTCATTAATTGAATTTTCAAAAG